GAAATGTAATTGTGTTGTATACTTACAGTGTACCAATAAAAGAATTTAATACAAAAAAAAAAGAACACTGTAGGTAGTAATGAGTGCTTGAACAAAGGTAGTGGCAGTTGGTAGATGTGAGATATTAGAGGGGGAATGATAAGCTTTTAAAATTAATTGTTCTCAAAAGTAAAAGAGGAGGAGAAATTAGTATTAGTCCACACAAGGTGCATCAAATTCCCAGTTGCAGTAGTTAAGCAGATTTGGTATGCTGTGGCAAAAGATAGACTGTGCTTAAGGAAGGAAAATTTGTTAGAAAAACAGGCACCTCTGTAGAAATAATGGCAGCATCAGGTAGAGGCAGAAGTTCTAGGTAGGTCATAGAAATATTAGGTCATAGCAAATATAGATAGAATAAAGAAACAATTATGGTTTAGAATATTAGTCTGAGACATGGCTTTAGATTGTAGTACAAAAACAATGGGTGCTCCTGGCTTTGTGGTCACACGTGAAATCCACTGAAGATAAATCATGGTTCTTTGGGATCACTCATAGTCCCAAGGAAATGGCCTACCAAGAACAAAGCAAATTGTGGTTGGTTCTCCTGTCCTGAGAGGAAAAAGAACCTCCTGGGATATAAGGGAATATATGTATCATCCTTAGGACTAGTCAGGGAGATTATTGCCCATAACTATCATTGTCTTGTTCAGTTTCTCATGTCTTGCCCATGAGGAGCCAAAACAATTTCCCAATACCTTTGGACTGCTTAAATTATTGGGGGTTTTTGGGGGGTTTTTTTGGTACCAGGAATTGAACTTGGGTCCATGCACTTGCGCAGCAGGTGGGGAAACCAATGAGCTAAATCCCTGGCCCTAACAATTGTTATTAAAATACTACGGACCCACCTTGTCTTTGACATTTAAATAACTATTAACTGTCTAGAAAGGAATAGATAGTATATACAAAAATATTTTGTTTGACCATTCAGTTCTACTCTTTGGAATTAATTTCAACTATTTGAGAATATTTCTAAATATTTTCAAGCCTAGTTATTATGTCAGTGTTTATAGTAGTAAAAGACTATCAATCATCTGAATATCCAACCATGTTGATTATTTATCATATTATGTTACAAATTTTTCTGTAGAATCTTATTCAGTTTGTTACAGTTTTCTACAATAATAAAATAGGAAAATGGCCATGATATATTAATAAGCATAAAATATTATATTACTGAATAATGTGTGTAATCTTAAACTTTGACAAAAAGAAAACAAACATGTAGTTTTAAAGTCTGTCTTCAAGTTGTATACATTAACTGCTAGAATATTTAGTGATATAGAAAAATGGCCCTGTATCAATTATTGATAAGTACAAAAGAACAGATTATTGAACAGCATGTATGGTTTAATTCCATTTCTTTAGCCAAAAATAATAGAAAATTGTTATATAAATCCTCTTTTCTAAATTCTATATGATTGGTATCTATCAATTTTATAATTAAGAAAAGTATTAAAAATACATTTATATTTATATTTTGTTCAGAGAAAATAACGATGAAAGGTCTTGAAATGAAAGAAAACAGAGGATCCCCCCACACACACCCCTTCCAATTTTAATAATTTTGCCTCGAGGCAAATTTCAGAATGGCCATTGGTAATTGACTATTTCACAGTCGCCTATAATTAGCAGTTTCAACTCTGAACATTACTACTCTGTGATTTCCTTAGTAATTCCCATGAACAGCTTATTTGGGTTTTAAATTTCTTCTTTTTGGAAATTAATGGACTTTAGTGATAGACTTCTAATCAAATACGTAAGCTAATATAAAGCATATAATAAGTATTCAGCAAATGTAGGTGTTCTGTCCACTGACTTTGTAATTTAATGCTAAAACTCAAGAAAGAAAACCCCCTAAAAATTACAAATCATCTGAACTGCTAGTTTAAAAATCTTGAAACCCTTAATTACATTCAGGATAGAATGTTTCAAACATTAATTCATTTTATTTCTGGAATAATTTATTTTTATAAAATGATTATGGGTATCCATAAGACAGAATATTTTTTACTTTTTAATTTGGTTGGCTAATTCACTTTTAATGTAACTAAAAGCATTTATCTTCTAAAAGGGAGTGTTGTTTCACATAGTGCAAATATATTTGTTTTCTTAACCTTAGGTTGCTGTTGGCAGAACAGATATTGAAGACTTAAACCTCTATGCTACCTCTCGGGAGAGGCGATTTCGTTTATTTGCTTCTATAGAATGTGAAGGGCAGTTATTCATGACTCCATATGATTTTATTTTGGCTGTTACAACAGATGAGCCCAAATGTAAGTATATATTTTCAGTTATCTTAATAATTTTTCCAAACTTTATTCTTCTACTTTGTAAAAATATAGATCAGAATATAGTTTTTAGAATAACTTAACAAAGTAATGTATTTCAAAAGACAATATGCTATGCAGTGTTACCAGACTCAACTCTCTTCTCTTTTCAAAAATTTTCAGTTGCTCCAGCTTTGACATATACCAAGCTTCAGCACTATCTTACTTTTGATATCAAAGAGATATTATAAAAGATTTATATTTTGCCTGTTCATGCTCATATGCAGTCTAAACAGAGTAATTGAGAGGACTGGCTTTAAAATTAGCCAGAGTCAAGATTTCTACTTATATCTCTTCTGTATTTGTCCTAGCTCCTACAGTGTTAAATATAGGATAATTGCTACTCACTTTTCCATTTGTTAGAGCAGTGGTTCTCAAACTTTTTTACATTAGTCACACTCTAGTAAATCTTTTAATGTCTCACTTAATAAAAGACAGTTGGATTCTCATTTGTGCTTTTGTATTTGTATTATATCATGTTGTTTTTCATGAAGTATATGAGGATATATATATAGTAGGAAAAGGGAAGGATATTTTAATAGCCTTTTCTGATAATTGTGGATATTCTTCTTTGATATGTATCACAACTTGGATGTTAATGAGGTCCCAAAAGCCTCCAAAGGTGATGGTGAAATAGCAATGAATACTAAAGGCTTCTGCTGGCTTACCTGGGTGGATGACAGTAGGAATGAGGTTTGAGGAGAAAAATCACTATTTCAGTTTTGGACACAATGCATTTGAGATGTGTAAAAGACCAGGCAATTGGATTTTTCTCCTAGTTAATTTCATTTTACTGAAAGACAACTTACCAAAAATTAGTATACTGCCTAATCAGTTCTTTGATTTCCTTGAAACTATCACATAAATACTTTAAACTAGATTAAAACAATTACAGCCATTTTTTTCTCCAGAGGCAAGGATATAGCAAAACCAAATTTGATAAATTGGCTTCTTTGCAGACTAGTTTTTGATGAATTAATTTAAATTAATTAAGTTAATATTAATGCCTTGGATTATTTGTACTGGAGATCAAGGGAGAATATTCCTCTGTATATAATTGATAATGCAATGTGTATAGATGAATATTCTCCCTTGATAGTATGAGAATATAGATGACCAAGGACTAATCCTTGAGGAACACCTACACTTTAAAAGATGAACGTACAAAGGCTGAAAAGGATAAGCTTTAAAAGGAGACAGAAGAGTATCCAGGGCTATGAGAAGAAAATGAGAAGAGCATAGAGTTGGAAAGGTCAAGGAGAATGACCAGAATGGTCAAGTGGAATGCTACTAAGAAGTCAAGTTAGATAAGGATAAAAAAATGAAAAAATATGAAAATTATTGGTGATTTTTCAAATGATATTTCAGTGGAGTGATTAAAGCAAAAACCATATTGTAGGGATGAGTAGTAGATGAAGAAGACAGTGAATGTAAACGACTCTTTTGAGATACTGTTTGCTGAACACAAAGGACATTTAGCAGCAGTGGAATCTGACAGAGGCTTGATTATGCAAGATTTTAACCCATAAAAATACATTTAAAAATTATTTTGACGGGATAATATGAGGATAGTATATAAAGTGGAAGGAATTGTAAGGGCAGGAACACAAAGGCAAGCGAATACTGGTATATTCATAGCATGCACTCTAAGAGTATGTAGGATAATAGTGATAGAAAAGGCTAGAAATTAAGGGCCTCTAAAAAAGAAATGTGAAGGCTATGATAAGATTTATAGTTTCTTTAGTTGATTCCTTCCATTATAGATTTTAAAATATGTATTAAATAGTCAATACTAAATATAAAAATAGTAATGGCTTCATGCAGATTTTTTGAGACTCCATGAATAAATTGTGTTTGTACACGGTGAGCATTTAATAGATGTTGGTATCTGTAGTCATCATCATCGCTTTCACTTGAATTTATAAGCATGATTTTTAAAAATGTTTTGATACAGTATTATAGTGACATTCAATAGGAAAAATGATATAATATGTAATTATTATGATTGTTGGTTACTGTGTTTTTGAAAACTAGAAAAATTTTTTTACCTATTTTAATAGCATCTAAAAGGTGAATTTCCCTCGTAGAACTAAAATCAGTAATTGATTATTTTCATATAGCATCAAGAATTATTTTAATTTAGATTTTAAAAAATATATATTTTTTTTTAAATTTCAGGAATACAAAAAAGTACTAAGAATATAATGAGCATAAATCTACAGCTTAAGAAATAAACTATTTCCAATAGAATTAAAGTCCCCCTCCCCGCTTAAGTTATATTTATGTATGAGGTAACTTCATATGAAATAGGGAATTTATAAAGTCTGAAAATCCTTTGAAGAACTGTCGTAATGACTCATTAGTCTTTATTTTAAAACACTAATAATGTTGAACGTTGTACATTTCTGGCACAATGAATATGTCCTTTGTGAATAATTTACCATGGATATCTCATAAACCCTACAAAGCTGAAGAGTATGTCTAACTTCCTCTTTTGATAATTAGCTTCTCAGTATTACATAAGAGCTTATGCATATACTTTTGTACCATTTGTTTTCTTTTCTTACTGGTACATTTCAAGAGCAACAAAATCTTAAGTATTATTTACATTATTAAAAGGAAGGTGTCATTATGAAATGAATGTATACAGTCCACAGTTAAGTTTACATGTCAAATTAATAGACCTGTGATTTTTATCACTTGATTAAATGTTTATAAAACTATCTTGGGTGAAGGATGTTACAACATAGAAGAAATATCTATCTGCATGAAAATCAATTTGCTGAATTTTTAAAACTTATTTCCTTCCTTTCAATCAGAAATGAATGAGTTTTGTATTGCTTTTAAAAAGGTGCATAGAAAAAGTACCTTTCTTAAGATTTTGAATTTGATTGGTTATTAATTACTCATAACTAGTTCCATTGCCATGTAGAAAAAATATTGGTTGTCATTGTTGTAATTGATAAAATATTATTTACAAGTTCTCCTGATTTCGCTATATTATAGGTATGTTACCAGTTAATCACATACCAGTACCAACCTAGAGACTGTCCTTAGGCAGGTATTAGATATTTACATTGCTTAAATCTGGACAAAAGAAACAGCAATATTGACTGCACATTTGTCTGAACAGTATAGGATTTATAATGTCTGAGATCTTCCACTATCTAAAGAGGAATCAGAAAAAGAAAGTGAACCCAGATATTCAACTACAACACTCATTCCAAGATGTTTCTTGAACAGTTGTAGGGAAGAAGAATGAGAAACAGGACAAGTTTCCCTCTCACTTTACCTCCTCTCCCTTTTATTTAGCCCCAAATATAATAATATGGCTATGGAAAAGTATTTACTATTCTACTGATTATTACTTATTGTAAACAGTTTATAGTTAATGAAACAAGCCAATAACATAAATAAAATCATATCTTAAATTCAAATCTTGAGGTTAAAAAAATTTACCTTTTTGACATGAAAGTTTGGTTTTGACTTATGGTTGTAGATGGTTACTGAATATGGATATACATTACATCATGTATTTATTATCTAATTATTTTATATTTATTTTAGTTGCTAAAACGTGGAAGTCACTTTCTAAACAGGTAAGTTAAACCTCTTGGCATACATATGCATGCATATGTATACATACATGCATACACACTTGTATATATTTTACATATGTACTTCTGCAAATTAAAATCAAATCATGTTATTTAAACTTGCATGTCTGATTTATTTCATTTAACATTATGGTCTCAAGGTGTATCCATTTACCTGCAGATGTTTCAAGTTTATCCTTCTTTGTGGCAGAGTAGTACTCCATTGTGTATAAATACCATATTTTCTTTATTCTCTTACATGAGAAACCCAAAATATAAATAAAGAACAAAATAAAATATAGATAATAGAAAGTAAAGAGATCTTTTTCAAATGGGAGAGGGAATAAGAAAGGGATGGGGGAGGAAAGGAAAGGAAAAAGGATTAAAAAACAATTGAAAAAATGGAAATAGAGCTTTTGTAAATGGGAAGTGTAACAAGAGTTGGAGGAAGCAGGTAGGGAAGGGAGGGGAAGGAGACAAAAAAGGAATTAAGATGTGTTATGCACATGTATAATCTCCCCACAATAAATGTAATAAGTATTTATTATAAACATGTACTAATAAAAAAATCAGATGGTGGTACCTTTTTTTTTTACCCTACAGATTGTCAGAAAAAAGGTGGACAATTCTAAGGGCTGGTGAAAATTAATGATAAATCTTGTGTAAATTGATACACTCCTTTAGGAAACAATTTGGTATTATTCACTAAAATTGAAGATGTACATATTCTATAACCAGCAATTCTATGCCCGGGTTTAAATTCCACAACAGTGCATGCGCATGTACTGAGTAAGTTTAAATTTGAATATACAGTGTGACCCAGTAGTTTCATACTAGTGTATACACCTAAATGAACTACTGTTTATATGCAGCAGAAATTCACAAAAATGTCCATAGTTTGTTTATGTTGGCCAAAAAGAACCCCTTGTAATAGTAGGCATAACAAATTTGATATATTAATATAGTAAATGCTATGGCAGTAGTGGAAACAAATGCATTATAGTGATGCTTAATCTAGATGAGTCTCAGTGAAACAATGGTAAATAAAATAAGCAATTTACAAAAACAAATATAATTCCATTTACATAAAGCCTGAAATTGGGAAAGTAAAACCTTATTATTTAGGGATATATTCATAGGAGGAAAGCTAAGGAATAATTAACATAAAATTCAAGACAGATTCTACTCTAGGGTAGATGCAGGGAATGTCATCAGTGAGGGGCTCAAAACAGCTTCTATGTACTGATAATTTCCTGTTCTTTAACTTGGCTATTTCCAACTTCTCAACTAGTAAAAGAGATTCCTCAAACCTATAACAAGTATCATCTTTACTTGTGGAACTTTAGAGACACTTTCTTTAAATAAAAATAGTGCAAATATACTTGATATCATAACTATTCCTCTACATTTTACTAAAGATCTAGCAAAATAATAGATCTCATTAGCTTAGATTTCTAGTTGGCCATGACCATAGACCATAGACTATAGACTAGATGGCTTCAATAACACACATTTATTTTCTTACACTTTCGGAAGCTAGAAATCTAAACTGCAGATATCAGAAGTTAGTTTTTTCTGAGGCCTCTCGGTTTTTAGATGGCTGTCTTCTCCTTCTGCCTTTGCATATAGCCTTTCCTCTGTGCATATCTATGTCCTAATCTCTTCTTATAAGGATACTGATCTATTGGATTAGGATTCATTCTACTGATCTCATATAATAACCTTAATTGCCTCTTTATAGGACCACTCTCCAAAATAGTCAAATTCTAAGGTACATATGAATCTAAATTTGGAGAGATGGAGGACACAATTTAAACCATAACATACTATATGACAAGAAAATTTTAAAAAGAGAGAGGCTCTAATATTTGGAATAGTGGCAAACAATATGATTAAGAGAAAATGTAAAAATATATACATTTCAAATTTAGTAAAGTTCAGTAAAAAATTGTTAGCAAGATTGATGCTGGCTATAAGATTGATGAACCAAAGTTAGTAACATGCTGACATTGTGCATCTACACCAACAGTACCAGTAATGCCTCAAATAAGACATTTCACAACATCAACAAGAACTGTGAGGTGCTTAACAGTGTCCCTAACAGAAAATGTGAAACCCATTATTAAATTTCATTTTTAGAAAGATGAGTATCATGTTCATACATGACAAGCTATCTCCTAATGATACAGATTTCTTCCATATCTATCTATAAATGTATTACAACTGTAATAAAAATTCCACAGAATTGATTTTGGATTTAACTTTTTAAATTCACTTGTATGAGTAAGGACCCCAAAATATTTAGAACAGTTCTGAAAAGGAAAGAAGAAAAAGAGTCCATAAAGATGAGAACAAATGGCTCTATTGCATATTGAGATTAATAATAGAGCTATAATTAAAATAATATTGTATCATTACAAGGATTTTTGAAAGGAGATCAAAATAGTAGAATATATAGAATCCAGAAATAGATCGAGACATTTATGGGAAATCTGTAAATCAATGTAGAAAAAAATGACCTCTTAATCATAGTTGTTAAAATAATGGACTTTCTACATGAAAGCAGATGTAATTAAACCTTAATACCACCACCATACACAAAAAGTATTCACATAGATTATGTTCTTATTTGTCAAAAAAATTTCAAAAGACAAGCAAAAAATGAGTTGTTTTTTATTTATTTATTTATTTATTTATTTATTTTGCTACTGGGGATCGAACTCAGGACCTTGCACTTGCAAGACAGACGTGGTGCCACTGAGCTAAATCCCTGGCCCTGAGAAGTTGTTTTTTAGATGAGACATAAGTAAAACAAAATGGAAATTATTGGCATATTTTACTAAATTAAATATTAAAAATCTTAGCACCAAAAAAAGTGTTAATAGTGTTAAAGATGTATCATGCATGAGAAAATATACTTCAGCGTATTATAACACAAATTAAGAGATTTATAGTCATATCATACTATATAGAACTATAAATTAATTAATTAATTAATTAAATATATTCAGCTCAATGAGAAAAATGGACAGCCAGTATGGTACAGCATACCTGTAATCCCAACATTTTGGAGGCGAAGGTAGGAGAATCAAAAATTCAAGGCCAGCCTAAACTGTATAGTGAGTTCAAGATTGATCTGGGCTATATTGCAATAGTACTGGAAGGAAGAAAAAAGAAGGAAAGAAAAAAGAAAAGAGAAAGAAAAAATGGACAAACACAGCCATAGTAGCCAAAAAATATATATTAAAGACCTCAACATCATTAATAACCAAGGACATACAAATTAAACTAGTAATATTATACTGTTTCATATCCTCCAAATTGTTAACTTCTAGAAATCTGAAAATGCCAGTAATTAGCACAGATAAGGAGCTATGAAGGGAGGGTAGGGAATGGGGAAAAAATAAGAACCAAGATACATCATGTAAAGAAAGGTACAAGATCCCAATGATGAATGTAATGTATTGTATACCTAAAATGTACCAATAAACTAAATGGAAAAAAAAAAGAAGGAGCTAGGTGAAAAGACGAACAACAATAACCACCCCCAAAGAAGGAACTAGGTGAGAAAATAAATTGGTATGTTTACTTTTTAGAGAAATTTGCCTGTAGCTAATAAAGTTGAAAATGCTTATTGGAAATCCTATTTCTAGATATGTGTGCTAGAGAAATGTTTACATATTTACACCAAGAATCCTGTTCATGTTTCCTAAAATACTGACTGTAATAATAAAAATTTAGAAACAATATAAATGTCAGTCATTAGGGAAATGAATAATGTTGTGAATAGACATACTAAAGACAAATATGGTAATACAGGGTTAAACTGAATACATAGATAGCAATGTGTATCAATGTGACTAGACCTTGAAAACTCAGGTTGAGTAAAACAGCAAGTTGCAGAATAATACAGACTGGCAGTTCTTTAAAATGCAAAGACCTTTTAAAAAAAAATCTGTAAAGTCAACATCATTTTCATCATTACTGAGTGTATACTTGTTTTATTCTCTCTCATTCTCTCAAGAGTGTTTAGTAAAGTTTTCTAGAGGTGGCCAGGGATTTACCTCAGTGCCACCACACCTGCCTCGCAAGTGAAAGGTCCTGAGTTTGATCCCTGGTATCAAAAAAAAAAAAAAGTTTTTTACAGGCCACATAATGAGTAATCATGTCATTGCTCTGACAGCTCATGAGGTAATGAAATGTGTGTTTGCCTAGTTTTGTGTTTTAAATTTTTCTCTTTTTTTGGCACTGGGGATCGAACTCAGGACCTTGCGCTTGCAAGGCAGGTGGCGGAACCACTGAGCTAAATACCTGGCCCCTCTTCTTTTTAATTTCAAATAAATTAAGTATTGATAGATATAACCTATGTAAATAATCTCTTTGGGGTCAGTATTTTGAAAAATGTAGAGTTGGATTTCAGCTGTTACAGATAACTACTTTGTTGCCATTAATATGGAAAGGAAGACTACAAGATAAGAAAATATGCCCATTATACAGGAAGTACAAAGTACAGAAAGTAAAGAGTAAATTGCAAATCAGTATATAGGGAATAAATTAGTATTTGCAACCACAAAATACTATTTAAAGGTGCCTAGCTAGAGAAGTAGATTTTTAAAAGTTCAATAAATGTAAGTTTGATTCCTTTTTGGATTATAGTTTTCTGTATTCACTAATTTTCTTGTAAATATATTAAATACACTATATACATTTTTTAAAACTACTCAATAAAATTGTATAAATCCTTTAAAAATCATGTATAATTTCAGGAAACTGAATTTAATAAATATTTGCCTCCTATTTGCAATATTACGATATAATTCTGACACTAAACATCCAAAGGTAATGTCAAACTCTACTAGTTGAAGGGCATAGTGCCCAACAAGATTGCCCTCGTTTCTGATGCTTACCACAAGTTCAAGAGTCTCTAGGCCACCACACTTACAACTTTATTGGCTACAAATCTAGGAGTTTCCTATAACTCCTCTCAGGTTTTAATAGAATGACTTGTAGAACTCAGGAAAGTGCTATACTTATGATTATAACTTTATTATAAAGAATACAAATTAAATCAGCCAAATAAAGAATCAAAGGATTAGGTCTGGGAGGCACTTGGCGAAGAGTTTCTGTGTCCTCCATGTGAAATCAGGGTGTGTTACCCTCCAGCGCTCAGTGTGTTTACCAACCTGAAAGCTCCGTTGAACTTGGTGTCCAGAATTCTTCTTGGGGTTTTATTACTAGGCATAATTGATTGAATCATTGGCCCTGTGATTGAACTCAGTCTCTAGAACTTTTCCTCTCATGAAGTCCATCTGGGTCAGTGCAGCAATCTTCTAATCACAGTTGTTCTTTCTGATGACCAGCCACCATCCTCAGTCATCTCAATGTAAACTCAAGTGTCATGCAAGGAATTAGGTTCTTCCTCCCAGAAACCAGGGACAAAAGCCAAACTCTTTTTTTATAAAGCACTACTATATATAAGAGCCCATGATAAGCACTAGAATTGAGAATATTCTCAGCATGAATGGAAGTATTAAGATTTTAATAAATTTTAAGTCCTTGAAGTCAGCAGAAAACAAAAAAGATCACTGTCAATTAGGTGATCTAAACCAGAGAAAATGGATTATTACTAAAATAAACTGCTTGGAGTAAGGCTTAACTTCTCTCATTTACTAGTGACCTTTTTGATTTCCTTTATGGTACTATATCTGCATTGCAGTTAACAGATGCTGCAGGTAACAGATGCTACAGGTGATAGGTAAGTAGTGTCTGATTAGGGTACCAGTGGCAGAGGTAATGTACTTATCCACTTTTAATTTTCAGCAAAATGTGCATAATGAGGGTTTTTTAAAAAGAATTAAATAAAATACAGTGTATGTGAATCCATTCCAATCAGATAGAGGGCACTCAAAGGTAACTATGATTTTTCAGTCTTAAACTTTAGCAGAGTTAAAGCTAGAATAAATCCAGTTAAAGACATTAAAATGAGGAGAAAGAAATTTTTGTAAAACTGATGATATAAATAGAGCAATATAAAATGTATTCAAAATGCTTTTTACAATCTCTTGCTTTAATACAAATATTTACTTTTGTCTAAACAGTAAATATACCAGTTTCTCATTATTATTCATACCTAAAGCCTTACCTCTGTCATTGACACCCTAATCAGACACTACTTATAACCTGTAGCATCTGTTACCATAAAGGAAATCAATGAAAGAATCCACAGATGGACTTCAAGGCATCCATAAATCTCCTAAAAATGTTCCTGTCTTTGACATCCCTGGGATTCTCTTATTTTCCTGCTAATGTGGCTTTGCAATTTAAAAAGTGGTTGTTTATAAATATCAGAGCATTTTTATGTGCAACTTGACAGGAAAGGTATTTTGAAATACTGAGCAGACTAATTTTTAAATTTCAAATTATTTCAAGTTATCTTACCAATCTTTTAAATCAGTTTTCTCCACAACTAACCTAATTACAGTTTTCACTTATTTTCACAAAGTATGCACAATAAATTAAAAATTGTTATACAAGCAGTGACTTCCTAAGAAATTGATGCCCACCAAACCAAGATTACAGAAAAGTCTTAAGGATATCCTAGAGAGTGGTGATTCAAACATTTAAATCCTCTATTAAAATACTTTCCTACTAGGTGTAATAGTTTGATTTTTTAAAAAGCTGATGGCTAAGCAGCAGGTGAAGTCTATGTTCTTTACTGACTATTTAAATTAAAATTAGAAAAAGAAATGAAACTAGTTACACTAACCTAATACCCGTCACCGAGTTCACCCAATGTCATCATTCTGAGTTGACATTAAAATAATCTTCATTTCTTCCTACCATATTCCTTTATTCATTTGTCCCTTAAATCCAAGAGTACTACAAAGAAAAGTGTGAAGTCAGGTGATCATCTCTGACCTTATAGAGAAATCGATAGCATTCATAAAACTATAACTTTGTAACTGGCTCAAGAATTTAAAGCAGAACTTGCTGCTTCATTGTAATTTGGTTATCTGTATAGACTTACAGTTATGAAATTTATCTGAAATTTTGGATAGCTCTAATTCAGTTTAATATAGTGTCTTCAGTATACACTGTGGACAAATACTGGTTTTTGTGGTTGAATTAACTGCAGGCATAAAATAGGATAAATAATGCCACATTCCAGGTCTTTCATGAAGAATTTTTGGCATGGATATTTAATTTTTAAATCTAATAAGAAAATGGTTTACCTGTTAATCAAAATTATGGTATCTTCTGTCATAGGAATTAAATCAGATGCTCTCAGAAACACCACCAGTTTGGAAGGGATCATCGAAGCTATTTCGAAATCTTAAAGAAAGAGGTAAGTTAATGTTAGTACATGCATTTTAATATTGACACTATGTTCTTTATACTATCATGTATATATTTTTCTCATATATAAAGTAATTCTAAAATTACATATGTATGTGTTTGTATGCACAGAGGAAAAAAGCTAAAAAGAAAAATACCAAAATATGAATTATTTTGAGTGGTAATGTAATTTTTTTTTTCCGGTACCAGGGATCAAACTCAGAACCTTGCACTTGCAAAGTGGACCCAGAGCCACTGAGCTAAATCCCCAGCCCCAGTAATGTAATTTTTGAGTAGTGTGATTAAGGGTAGTTTTTATGTTATTTTGTACATATATTATTCCTTTCTTTCACCTTTTTTACAAAAATATGAACTTGTATAGTTAAAAAACACTTTTAACTATAATGAAAAAAGAGTATACTTATCCATAGAAAGTATTTTTCAGAAATACTTGATCTTCAAATGGCTGTTTTTCTTCTTTCCATTTTACTTATAGGGAATTATAGAGATTCCTGAAAATAATCAATATGAAAAACTTCTTATGTATGTCTTTTGGCAACAAAATTTAACCATGTTTCTTTTATAGACAACACGCACTGCAAAATTCACTTGTTTCAACTTACTCTATTATCAGTATACATGTATCTAATTTAATTTGTTAATTTATACATTTGTTGGCACTCAAAATAATATCTGGCTTTTATTCACTTTTCTTTCACAGTGTACATTTTATACCTATTTATAGAAAAAATTATTAGTAAAATATCCTTAATCTTAAAATGGGATGTTTCCTAGATGTATACTTGTTTATTTTCTCAAATATAAGAATATATAAAGATTAAAGAATTATATAGTTATTTTTCTTTTTCATCAATGTTAACCAGTCAATACTGATTTGAAAATATTATTCTTACTCTAGCATGAAGACAAATACTTTAAAGGAATTGTTACAATTAATGTATTTTATCTAAGTAGAATTACAAATTCATATCACTTCCAGCTGGTTCACTTAGAATCTGAAAGAAAGAAACACTTTATCTTTCATTGTAGACTTTTCCTAACTCTGGTTTTTAAATCTTTGAGAAACCTGGGGCAAGGTCGCTTAAAACATTTGTAGAAACGTTTTCCTGGAAGTTGTCTTAAAGATTACCATTCAGATTTTAAAGTGATATTCAGTGCTCAGAATGAGCAGATAAGTAGAGTGAATTTCAAAATTTTCCCTTAATGTAGCTCATGAGAAAATCCAAATTGGACTAAATATAATATGAGAAAGACCAATATATAGAAGAAGGAAATATTTTTAATATTTTTCTTTAAGAAAAAGGCTTAACCTGAAAGTCCTGATTGCTGTTTGTTTCAGAGGAGATGTTTTAGGGCTGTCCAGAACTGTCTGAGGGATGGAGATATTCTGTTTCTGTGCTGTCGTGGGAGCAGTGCACCAAATGTGGCTAGTCTGAGGAACTGAACTTTTATTTAGTTTTGATTAATTTAAATTTATATAGCTACACTTGACCAGTGACCTACTGTGTAGTTTGTATCTGTATCATGCTGATCAAATTATCAAAGCAATCAATGATCCCATTAGAACCTTTAGGTTCCTATAAGATAGGTGAAGTAGAGAAACACAGATTTGTGGCTTTTAAATAAAGATTGACTGGCAGGATAATTCTGAAGCAACATCTTTAGAACTATTAATGATTCATTTTAAAATAAAGTTTATTTGCTGTTATACAGTTTTTTAAAAAATTGGTATGTAACACTTGCAAAAACATGTTACATAGATTTAGTTATTACAGCCAGCTTTAATGTATCATGGTACAGAAATGAAACAATGTAATGGTGCTTTTAAAGAACTTCCTTTAAAAAATTTTTTACTTAATTTTCAAAAAAAACTTAGCTCACATTTTTCTTATCATCTTTCTAAAGATTGCACCATTATATGTTTAGTATTCATTTCAATTTTTCTCTGATCCTGAATAACCTATTTTTGTAATTGGAAAGCATTAAGAATTTACAATTCCTCTTCAGCAATATTTTTTCTTTTCTTTTACCAATCTTATTAAATTATGTCATGAGTTTCACTTTATTCTCCTTCCCTGTGGATTAAGTCACTTCTTTAACCATGTAGTCCTACAGATAAATGCCTACCATGATAATCATGATTAAGACTTTCACTGTTAAGTGACCACCCTCATATGAGAGAAATCTTGAGTTAATTATCAAATAAAAAATGTATAGCAGTTATTAAAATTCTTTATACCAACCAGTAGCTCTAGTATATTCTATCAGGTGAATTAGAGCACATCAGTGACATGGGATTGTGAAGACAGCAAGGCCATTTACCAATCCTATTTTATCCTTTTGCATTTATGCTTTTTTTTCTTTTTGAGGGATCCCTATGGAATCTAAGTATTGTATCTTTATATACATTGACCATTTCAGAATCTTTCTCCCATAACATTCATGGCGATCAACCAGAACTATCTATCTATAGGTCACAATATTCTAGTATAAACAAAAGAAGAGAATGCTTTCAAAGCCTCCTGGGTAGTTCCCTTCATTTCTCTGACAAACTGCCAGACAGTGACTCCTCTTCTCTTTGTTCTATAACAAATAGAGTAGCCTCAAAGAACATCAGATAGATAGAGATTTAATGTTCACAGTCTGATTATTTAAGGATTTTTATACCCTTTTACTAAACATCAAATTATATGCTATTTAGATAAGTATTATAGACTTATTCCTAATTTTAATTATCTCTATCTCCTTGGATGTGTCAATAAAGCCAATAATTCTAGTTTTGGGTATTATAGTACAAAGGCAAGAATTCAAGTAACAGGATATATATTCTTATTTACTTCAACCAATCTCCTTTTAAGTTTGTAATTACAGTTATAGAGAACTCAGGGTATGTATATTGTAATCCATTCAATTAATATAAAAACGTAAGATTACACAATAGAAGCATTGTTTGTCAGAATAATAAATGATACTTTGACAGCAGAAGACTGGTGAATATAAACTTTTCTTTTTAAGTCAATACAAAATCAAATATCTAAGCAAGAATAAGTGTTTTATTTAAGTGTTAATAAGTAATTAAGCTGTTTTTATAATATTAGCCATTTCTCACCTTTTTAAGTTATATTCATTCATAAAAAATTAGCAACAAGTTTAAAAGTTACAACTATAACTAAACATTATAATTTTGATTTCTTGCCAATATATTTGAAAGCATTGAAGATGTTGTATGGGGCTCTATAGTAGTATAGGGAACAATTAAAGTAAAATTAATTTTGCTGCTTCTTTTAAAGTGGTTTTATACTGCTAATTTAGTCTCATTTAAAACAATATTTAGTATCTACTTTAAAACTGTAAATTATTCATAGTGTTTGTTTTTACTTTGATACATATAAAATAGTATTTCATATAGTATAATTGGTACTATTTTTCTTCTAGGTGTGATTTCTTATACAGAATATCTTTTTCTTTTATGTATTTTAACAAGTAAGTATACTCATTAAATCTATTTCTAGATACAGTTTTATTTTTTAGTCTGAATCTTATAAACAGATATTTCTTAGCTTATTTTACTAGTGAAAATTCCTTTAGGTGTATGTTCGTTTTATTGGAAAAATAATGACTAAATGATCAGAAAAATGCTATATAGCATAGCACTATTAAGAGTCAAAAACAAATATTTTGGCTATGGTATAGTAATAAAATGCTTATAAACTTTAATTTAGTATCATATGCCTATTTATTTTTACTTTTAATCTGCATGATACCCCAAAGTTCAGGACATATAGTAGTGTTCCTACTACATTCATTTCAAAAAGATTTTTCCACAAGACTAATGTGAGAATGAGTCTTGAGTCTTATGACTTGTGAGTGTATCAGAATACCCATAATCCCCATCTGAAAGCAGTTTTGTTACTTTCTTCTTCTTACATGCAGCAGTTCTTATGAAATATATGTAGGGTTTACTAACATTTTCATTTCAGAAATATTTCTTTGCATTTATTCTTGAGAAATTGTGTGCTGTAGCACTATTTACTCTTCTCCAGCCACCTGGCCTTTCTATTCCTTGAATTCTCACTTCACAGATTTGTAGTTTCTGCTTTTTGCCACCAGTGGTTTCCTGGAGACCCTCATGAGAATAAACATCTTTCAGGTTTCGTTTCAAATGTGAAGACTTAAAGAATTGTTAATTTGCTTTTCTAAAATAGCTCCTCTTCCATCTCTCTTTTTAACCCTCTTTCTTCACAACACTTAATTTTATTTTAAAATATTATTGGCTTACATGCTCTTGTCTCCCTCTCCTTTCTGGAGTACAGACTCTGTAGTGTCAAAAATATATATTTTGTATATATATTTTTATATATATTTTGTATATTTTGTATATATGGACAAAATATATAACAGTGTCTTACACATAGTACATTCTCAAAAAATAGGGAATGAAGAAAGAAACGAATGAGAGAATAGAATACTGCTCTTGAAATTTCCACTTGTGGGGATTTGTGGAGATATATGGAAATAAGAATATCAATAAAACTGTCATTAGAAACAAGTTTTAAAATACATTGGACTTATATGATTAGAAAATTTAAACCACTATTCTATTCTTCACATACTAAAGAATACTATTACATTAAGTTCTATTGTAGCAAGTTTTATAGGGGAGAAGGGAGAATGTGTTCATGGCACAAATGTGTTTCATAATTATATTCTTTATTTTTGTGTATTTTTTCTCTATACTTAAAATGAAAATAAAAATTAGTGTTGAAGAACAAGTATAATGCAGCTTGTAGCAGAGCTACCTAAGGTTCTTCCAGTTTGGAAATAAAATGATGCTTAAAAAGTGATGATAAAATCCAATCAATAATGAATGCCAAAAGGAAAATTAGAGTGGGCATGTATTGAAAAGTAGTCTTAATATCCAACACCCATACTCAAAATAAAAGGCAAAAATGAGAATGTTGCTGGTTAGGAGAGCTACTTGTTGAAAGGGGACAAGGTAGGTTTTGCTTACCTACCTTGCTATACCTTTGGATACTGTGATGCTTTCTTTGGCATTCAGGACACATCTGTAGAAGCTTTAAAGGGTTTGAATGGAAAAATTATGGAATGCTGTTTAGGTTACAACTAACAATAGTGTGAAAAGAGGCTGGGAGGAAGTGGGCTACATAATCTACAGTACATGTCTGTGTTTTCTCTTTATCTTTTACTATTCATTTTCCCTTCCAATCAGTATCTGTAAGGACTGCTGTTCTTCATATGTTTTCAAGATCTTTTTAAAGTTTAAAACTTGGTTGGCAAAGATGGTGTAAATTTTTGTTACTTTTCAAGTAAATGGTAATGAAAGTAAGGTTAGATTTCTAAAATACATGCAAGAAATGAGCTAACATAAAGGACTGACTTCTGTCAGCTTCAGAGACAGCTATTCCCAGTGAAGAAAATAGGACTATCTGCTTCTCTTTTGTCAGGTTCGAGGTTTCATAACAGGTAATAAATATCAAGTGCATCTGTGGGGGGTCTGTGTTTAAAACTTTTTGCTAGTCATCTGAAAAGGAAAGGTCAAGTATTTTGGGAGTATTTTGCAGTCCTCTTTGAAGAACACTGTCAAATTTTCTTCATTCCCAGGATTTCTTCTTAATGCTCTAGAATTGAAAAAGGCAAAGAGTGAACCTCATTTTATATACAAGGTTCATAAAAATAAAGCAATTTTGAGTATATGAAAGCTTTTTCAAAAAAGCATTTGTTCCATATTTTTGAGAAGTTGGGAATTACATATTCAAACCTCTTTTATTTTGTATTTCTGTTTCTGAAACCTCTAGAAGTTTAAACCCAAATCTATAATTTGTTAGACTTTGCTGTTTATCTCCATAGGCCATTTCGGTTATAATTGTTTGAAGAATGAGGACTGGCCCATTGTGTCATATTTTTATTTTTTCTGGCACCTTAATCATATTAAAAATATTTCACATGTGATGAGCTGATAATTTTCTTTTAAACAAATTGATAGGCTTTTGATATTTTTGGAAGGACAATAGTCAGTTTTTTCTTTTTAATGCCATGTGGGATCACATAAGGACTTTTAAAGCATATTACTGGGCTAGGGGTGTAGCTCAGTGATAGAATGATTGCTTGGCATGTGACAGGCCCTGGGTTCAATCCCAATACCACAAAAATAAAGTATATTATTAATTCTGTTATTAAGTCTGCTAATATAGAAAGCAGAAATATGTATATTTCTGTATAGCTTTTAGCTTTTACTATATTTAATAGTAACATGTTGCTTTGAATTTCTTGATTTTAAAAAAGTATTTCTGTACAGCATATGAGTAACTCTTTACAGCTAATGTGGTTTTAAAATACATTTTTCTATGTCATGAATACTTTCTTTTTTTTATGGCAGAGCCACATGCAGGTTTTAGAATAGCTTTCAACATGTTTGACACTGATGGCAATGAGATGGTGGATAAAAAGGAGTTTTTGGTGGTATGTATATTGTATGCTACATTTTATCAATGAATATTTCTAATTTATAGTTTATGGTTTTGCATTTTAAAAATATTACTGTATAGGCAAAAGTGAAAAATTTATGCTTTCACCTTAATTTAATAAAAAGTTATATACTCATACAATTTGAATAATATTTACATTATAAAGATACAAATTCTATTTAGTATATAAAGATTATTATGGTTGTTTATATACTATCTAGGAGTTTGGAATATATCAGATACTTTCTGTTGGCTGGATATCAAGTAGTCCTCAGAGTATATGTGCCCAGTTAATAGTCAGAAACAACTTTCAGAAAGAACCTATTTATCTAAATAATTTTGAATAAGAAGTGTGTGTCAAGACTGCTAAGTTCAACCCCGCTGACATAAAGATGAATTTTTGAAGAACTTAGTCCCTTCAGAGTTGCTCAGGTAGCCTGGTGTTGTTGGTGGACTAAACCTATAAATCCAGCTACTCGGGGGCTGGGGATTTAGCTCAGTGGTTCCGGTGCCTGCCTTGCAAGCGCAAGGTCCCAAGTTCGATCCCCGGTACCAAAAAAAAAAAAAAAAAAAAAAAATCCAGCTACTTGGGAGACAAGGCAGAAAAATTGTAAATTGGAGAACAGCCTGGACAACTTAGCAAGATCCTGTCTCAAAATTTTAAAAAATAACAAAAACAAAAATTTAAAAAGCTGCTTATGTAAATGTCTTTTGGAATATAGTCTGTGGAGTTGGGAGATAAAACCATTCACACTGACTTCCTATTCTTTTCCACTCTACATTCTTGCAAAAGCCTATCCTTGGTTTAAAGCTGTCATCTGATCTTTTCAGGTCTTGTACTGTTGCCTCATAAGTGATACTTTCTTGTTTGTATGCAAGAAGCTCATAAAAGCAGGAGGTGGAATTGGGCTAAGTTATTTGTAGAAGTCTAAAATCTTGGGAAGTAATATTTTATTTGACTTTCAGCTATTAGAGTATTTTTTAAAAAGTTGAGGTAGTTGTCCAAATTATCCACACAAGAGCAACGAGCCCATTTTTTGATTGGATCTTAAGGACAAATGACCAATAAATATATAAAAATATGTTCAAATCTCTAAATAGAAATTTAATTGTTTTGTTACTTATACTACTTCCAGAGGCAATTTGTGGATCTTCCAGTAAAAATACAGTATGATTCTTATTATGAACATTCATCTTGTAGAGAAATTGTAAATTAAAACAACCCTGAGATTCCATCTTACCCTAGAAAGAGTGGCTATTATCAAGAAATCAAATAATAACAAATTCTGGTGAGGCTGTGGGGGAAAAGAAACCCTTCTCCATTGTTGGTGGGAGTGTAAACTAGTACAACCTCTGTGGAACAATCTCCTCTATGGAGATTGCTCTAGAGCTAAAAACAGAAATTCCACTCTTCCCCAAAAGAACTCAAAACATCATATTACAATGATACATACATATTAAAACAGCACAACTCATAATAGATAAATCCTGGAAGTGGAGTATACGTCCATTGAAAGATGAATGTATAAAGAAAGTATAGGATTTATACATAATGGAGTACTATTCTGCCACAAAGAGGGATAAACGAGTAATTTGTAAGAAAATTAAGGCACCTTGAGACCATAATGCTAAGTAAAAGCAAACACATAAGTGTAAATATTGCATAATTTCTCTTATATCAGAAACCTAAGAGATAAATAAAGAGCAAAATAAAATATAATAGGAAGTAGGAAGATAATCTTTTATAAATGGGGAGCGAACCAAGAAATGAAGGGACTATATGCAGAGAGGGGAGGAGAAAGAGATGAAAAGAGTGTGTTGCATACATGTACCAATACCTCACGAGGAATATAACCATTATGTACTGCAAACAAGTACTAATAAAATAAATTTTTTTAAAGCAACAAGCTCTCCAGAAACTGATAAAGAGGTAAGATTAAACTGTCATTTTTAAATTGTAGGGTTTTAAAGACAAAAACACCACTACTAATAGTGATAATTAACATTTATTGAGAACTTCCTATGCAACAGGAAATACACTAATTACTTATAATATTGATTGCCCACAACATTCTGTAGGGGGGGAATTATCTCCATGTCCTGGATAAGGAAAACAAACCTTAATTAAAGTAACTTGCCTAAGGAATTATACCTGCAGAGCCTGTTCTTCCACCACTATGTTCAGTTAGCTGAAAGAAACTTTGGATGTTATGTAGACTGTCCTCATTTCATACTTGAGCAAATTGGACCCCAGCGAAGGTTGAATGGCCTGTCCATTGTAATAAAATTAAGGTGTGACAGAAACTGGACCCAAACCCAGAGTCTTTCAGTATTATTCCGAAGTTCTAATAGATTTTATCTCCTTTTCTATGTGGGGCTGAGACTACATGTCTTTTTGTATTAGAGATGAAGTAAAACTATATTATTAAACATATTTAACTTAACTATGAATCATCATTGCTAGAAATGTTTTTTCTTCCTCCTGGGAAAAATATTGAAATCAGAAGATATATCTCATGTGGTTTAAATATTCTGATTAAATTAATTATTTTCTGTGATTTGGGGATATACCTAGCACAGGGTGGTAGGCAGTGCCCTGAAACTCCTGTTGGATATTGAATTCTTGATTTATTTCCTTACAGCTTCAAGAGATATTCAGGAAAAAAAATGAAAAGAGAGAAACTAAAGGAGATGAAGAAAAACGTGCAATGCTGGTAAGAAATACTTTATAGTAGTTTCAGGTGGCTTTTCCAGGTGAAAATTATTTTATTCATGATGAGAAGCATGAATTAAAATTTAGAACTTTCGAAGTGTTTCTTTCTTGAAAACGTTCTAAAATTCCTATGTAGCAAATTGGTTCAGTATTTATATGCATCAATATCAATATTTATGTTAAATATTGATATTAAATATCTGTACTCATAGTCACATTCATTAAATCATTTTCATCCACATTGTTGTTATCTGTGAAATTTGAAGGGTATATCTTATAGTAGATCAATACAGATCATTATGCATGTAAAATTTAAAGGTGAATTGCAAAGATTTAATTATATGAGTTAATTTAATGTTTATATTACAATATGAATGTTGAAGCAAATACAAGGAAATAATGTTGTTTTAAATTCTTAGAAATACAGATTCTTCTGTGATCCATAATATTTTTGTCCTATTATGAAGTTAGAATTAATATTTCCTTCCATCCTCCTATCAGTTCTCTTTTTGTTGTCACAAACATTTCAGCCAACAACAGACAAATTCATATATTAAAAATAAAAAATGAGTTCTAAGACCTTACTATTAGTCTTTATGTTCTGCATGTATTTCCAAATTTCATCTACCTGGTAATTCTCTCATCATTCATAATTATAGATGAGGAAGTTGATAAATGGAAAGGTTAAGTATCTTATCCAAAGTTACATAGCTATTAATTTGCAAAGTCAATATTTGAAGCCATGTCTGGCCCACATCACAGCTTGTACTTTTATCCACTATACCATATTTCTTCATCTGCTGACATTGATACTAGAAATACAGTGAATTTTGTTACCATGTGAATGATAATAGTTTCATTTTCAAATTAATAGCTATGTAGGAGTTTAAACTGTCCTACATAAAATTGAAATGGCTAACTTAATTTTTTATAATTCTCATATTTTTTAGATTTTTAAAAAATGGATTATCTTATCTATGTAATGGATGCCATATTCAGTCCCATATATCTATGAAATACATGTTTATATCTAGTGTAAGTAAAGCAGGTTATCTGGATTACAAAATACGTATTACTTTCTAGGCTATTTTGCTATGTTATAACTATCAGTACTTAATGAACCTCCCCCAGTACAGTATTGACAAATCTTACAGATGACCATCTTAAAAAAAAAAATCACAGATCCGATTATAATGTTAGCAAAATATTAAAAGGGGCATTAGTAGTTTTCTAATTCAGGTCTTATAGTTTTAAAATTGTGATTTAAAAACCCTGTGAATAGCCCCATAAATGCAGTTGTTTGAAGTGGTTATTCTAATTTTGATAGATTATCTGTAACTATAATTGACTGAATAGGGAAGTTACTAATAATGTATCACTTAAGGAGGTTGAATTACATTAATTATTCTGTTAATATACCTTAGTAAATAATATTTCAGTGGATAGAAATGTAATTGCTTTATTTATTTATTTGTTATTTATACTACTTCCCGGGAGAATTTATGTATCTTCTAATAAAAATACTGTGATTTCAATCATTAACATTCATTCCAATTTATACATCAGATAAAAAAGGGAGAAAGGTATGTGAAAAATAATAGATGAATACACAGTAGGAAAAACTACAGTGTTAGCACAGAACTTGGCTTTTAACTTCATTGTATCCAATGTGAAGGAAATTTAATGTAAATATTTTATAATTGTGACATAGTATAATCTCACTAACTTGGATTAACTAGGGGACTTCTATCTGAATTATGAAACCTAGTTAACCTACTAACTACCCTAACTTGTGTTGTTTCATATGTGTATAGGTCAGTGAAGCATTCGCCAGCAAATATATAGGGAAGGAGACTTAGTTTTAAAGAACAGAAAAAAATGTATAACTTGCTTATATGTAGAGAAATGCTTACTAAAGTCATTGATCTCCACAGCTACCTCAGAGGAGTTTATCCTATACAGTAATTTAAGTATTGCTTCTGAAATTTCACTTACATAAGTTGGCTGTTAGAACTATTTCTTAAAACAATTCAGAAATAAATATATGACTCATCTCTGATAGCACTCATCAACAATGCAGCTCTCTACAAATTTTTATTAGTATGTTTAATAATGATGATTAGTTTTAACTAATTAATAGTCACATTATAAACAATGCAAATCTGAGCTAAGATTTTATTTTACAATATTTTAGTTATAGAGGATCATGCAGAATGGAAGGTGACATTGTCAAAGTGCTAGAAATGACAGTATAATTGGATACATTCATAAAACATTTCAGTTGAATTTTAAAGCAACAGAAACAACTCATTATGAAAATATATGGATAGCATCAAAGATACAGCATAACAGGCCCAGAAGCCATATTTGAGGGGTTTAAATATTAGCTCTGCCACTCTTGTTAAACCTTTGTGATTTTGAATAACATCATTAACTTCTATGTGCCATAGGTTTTTCATTTGTACAATTAGAGTAACAAGAGTAATGACCACATGTGAGATTTTTTTTATGGGGACTAAATAAAACACAGTCACTTAACAGTATGTGAAATTTAATGAACACTCAAAAAGCTTAACTCACAGTAAAATTTAATAGAACCACATAGATACTTTATTATACCCAAATCAAAATTAATCCAAACGAAATTTAGAAATATTTGCATGTCACAATAAAACTATGCTTCAGAAGGAGCAAAGTAAATGTAACATTTCTTGGGGCACTTATACTCTAAGTGCTGCATTATGTCCATAATAAATGTTACACCATTTAGTCCTCATTACAGTTTTCCCAGGTAAGTATTTCACTTGTTTTGCAAAGGAGAAAACAATCTTAGAGAGGCTAACTTGTTTCTCATACCACTGATAATAGCAGAAAAGGCTTCCAAAGCAGGTGTCTTATATTATTTCCACTCTCATGCTACTGTATTAGAGTTTCCTCTATCCCATGTGAAATTATTGAAACATAACTAAATAAAACTGCATATTTAAGAGAAGCATGTTTTACTCAAAGCAATAGTGCTATTAGAAGGTTACAACTAAAGTGGTTGAAATGAGCACAAATTCATCTAATGTTTAATTACATGAATTTTAAAAACTTTGCTACTCATCTTTAACATTTATCCCACTTCTGTGTGTACTCTATAGAGAATGTAGCATAATGATTTGCCCTTCCTAATTGATTATTTTGTCGTCTTTTCTTTCTTTTCCTGTTCTTGGGTTCATTCTGAAATGTGAAACTTCATTTGGCCCTTTGTGCTCTATGTCAGCGTCTTCAACTTTATGGATACCATTCTCCTCCTAATAGTGTATGTACAATACTTTAAATGTTCTTTATGTATATATCCCTCACCTGTTATGCTTGATAATGTTATTTTTCTCTATAAAGTTATTTGTTATTCAGAATGTTTTGGAATTTATTGAATACAGTATGGTGCAATCAATTCAAAATTTTAGTTTTCCTTCCTAAATTTATGAGAAGACTAAAATATATAGAACAATTGTATATATCTTTTTTAACTGCATGACTTTTAATTATAATAAAGGAAAAAGGAGTGAAGAAACAGCACCAAAAACTGCTACAATAAAGTTTTTAATTTTTCAGCAGTATTTGAGAAGTTATAAAAAATAGAGCAAGAGATAGGTATGCTCCTGCTGAACACAGGTATTTTAAGAACTAGATCTATTTATCTGATATATAGTCTTCAAGTCTAATAAAGTATTTTAATAGTCAATTTTCGTTTCCAGTATTTCTCACAAATTTTTAAAACCCTGTTACCTGCCTAATTTTTCTGGTCTATACAAAAAAAAATACTGGGATCTGATACTATTTGATAGATTTAATATAGCAGTGGATTGTGTCCTTTCTCAAAAAAGATTATAATTTTCAGATTTTTCTTGTCTTGAAAAATTTGGAAGTTCCTATAATATGAACTTCCAAATATACTATTCTCAAGCTGAGTTTTCATCTTTTATTTCTCTTGCTAAAGTTAGAGCTTGTTGTTAACCCATCACAAAGCAACTAAGAATAAACCATGACTCTTTTAAAAATGTAAACACGCACAGTTCATTTAACTTCCGCAGAGATCCTTCAGCCATTTTAAAGGATCCCTCAAACTATAGAAATTCCACCTGAGGAACCCTTAATTTTTTTTTAACTATGACAGTTTTCATTTTTCCTTTAATCTCATAAATAATTTTCATATAGAATGATTGTTTTTAAAAGAATCACAGAGTAATAATATTGTTAAAAGGAGATAGACCTTAGTATAGCTCTAGTTTACACTCTTATACAAATTGTAGTCCCTCACCCATTAAGAGAATCATACAGAGAAAGAGACTCAATTGCTTCATATTTCATTTATATTATACTTGTTCATAGGAAAATATACTCATGATTTTACATTTTATCGAATAACATTTTTCTTTTTATAATTTCACTGAAGATAGCTTTTTTCTATGTTCAAAATATACATATTGAGGTATATAACTTGGTATCATTTTTATCTCCAGACCTAAATGAATTGCATGATTTTTCAACCTCCTTAGGAGTTTATTTGGTTTTTATAATAGAAGCAGTTTTGCTCAAAAAGGAATAATTATTTTCAAAAGCTACAAGCAAACAAATTTTATTTTAAAAACTTTTAAAATCCAAACCTAAAAGTATATATGAAATACCATTGATGTAAATATTATAAAATATCATATTATAGTGCTATAAATTAACTGCTAATTAATTAACTGCAAGTTTCCAGAGTTACAGATTACTGAAGTGATTATCTAATTTGAGTGTAATGAAGCTAAATATAACCTAAGAAATTTATAGTAACCAGTTTCTACCTGTAGGACAAAGTTTCTTCAGGAAAGGGAATGGTCACCTTGGCTTATAGACAGAGATTCTCTAGGCTCTGTAGTACCCTATTCCAAAATTTAATGGGTCTTACAGTTGTTAAATTGACACAATTAACACTCTTACAGACTAAATCCAAATTATTTCTTCCTATAGTGAAAAACTGAGCATATTCTCTTGTATCCATAAAGATACCTGTTACCCTGTATAAAAGATAACATTTTCTGTTCCAAATAATCCTGATCCTTTTAATATTTCTCATATAGTCAACTCATAATTATCTCACACTGATGAAAAAGTATAAAAATTCAAAAGAATAAAGAATGCCAAAGTTAAGTGCATCTGACTTTGACATGCTTTATGTGATTTTTTAAAAAATTATTCTGAATTTCCTTAATTCCATTGCCATTAGAAAATACACTAATTTTTATACCATTTATTTGACATATATTGAGATGTCTTAAGGACTAGAACAATGTCAGTATTCATAAATAATCTTTATTTTAAAAGAATATGTATTTTCCAACTTAGGGTATAGTGTTGTAATATATATATATTACCATACATATATATATATTTCTGTGCATATTAATCATGTGTTTTAGATCTTTGTTCTTACTGATATTTTTATCTTCTTGATTTTTTTACCATATTATACATAGCAATGTTAGATTTATTAATTTCTATTCATAATTATCTTAAAATTTTGTTTTATGTGTTTTGCAACATTGTTATTACGTGCATAAGAATATAGATTTATATCAGCAAATTGAATCTTTTATGTTTGTATTAGATTTCTAGAAGTGTTTTTATTTTAAAAACTTTTAGTTATCAAAATGCACTACCTTTATCTTGATTAACATTTTGTATTATTTTTTATTTTTGTTGTTTTGTTGTTTTTTTCCTGTATTATTGGTGAAGTCTTTCCTAACTTTTGGGGTTTTTTGTTTTGTTTTGTTTTGTTTTTTGAGATAGGATCTTACCATATAGTTCAGGCTGGTCTTGAACTCACAGTGATCCTCCTACCTAAGATTTCTAAGTGCTGGGATTACAGGTGTGCACCACCATGCGCAGCTTGCCTTCCTTTTAAATTATTCCTTTTAAATTATTTTTTAGTTTAGAGTTAACTGTAAATATAAATGTAATGAATAACTGAATTATGAAAGCTTAACTACCATGTAGATCAAGATATAGAATATTGCTGTACCCCAAGAAACCATTTCATAAGTGTCCTCAATCATAATCCCTCACTGTCCTCCAGAAAATAACCAGTCATGATTTTTTTTTTTGGTACTGGGAATCGAACTCAGGACTTTGCAAGGCAGGTGACAGAACCACTGAGCTAAATCCCCACCCCTTAATAGTGACAGTCTTTTTTTTTTTTTCAGTCATGATTTTTATGTGACTCACTTCTTTGCTTTGCTTCCAGTTATGTCTCCTAAGCAATATAGTTTCATTATTACCCAGTTTTGTGCTTCATATAAATTAAATATTATGTGAATATTTTTGTCTTGGGATCACTCACGATTGATCAGTTTCCTCCTCATTGTATGTACTGTTCTGATTTGTTCTGTTTTATTGCTGTAAGCTATACATTGTTTATAATCATTGAAGATCCTAGAGAGATTTAGTTTATGTGGGTTATATCTGTCTATATTTGCCATATTAGAAATTAAAACAGGATTTTAAAATATTTATTAATCCATTTTAGATAACAATATGAAACTTAATATATGTTAAACAAGCAATTTTATGAAAAATAACTTCTTGAAAAGATAGTAAGAAGATTGAGATTCTTTTACATTCTTTGCAATTCTCTTTAACGATTGGCTTAATAGAAGATGGCTAGTTTTTCATAGCCATTTTTGCATTTAATATGTTATTTTGGCAACTCACTTGTTTACTTAATCTCAGTTGTTTACCTTGACGCAACATGCTCCTTTAATCCATTTTCAAAAAAGTCTACCAAATATCAAAATCTGAGTAACCATAATTTATCAGTTCATTCAAGTAAAACGGATGATTCATGGAAAAAAGTACCTAGTTCAGCTTGCAACACAATCATCAGACAAATGTTCTTTCTGCAGACAATTGTAGTACTTCTGTATGCAGGAAAAGGGCTTTATGCATTCTTCCTGTTTCATCACACCAAGTATGAAAAGATGTATATTCAGAATTCCAGCAAATGCATTCATTAAGTGGAACTTCTTTTTTGTTTTTTTCTTTTTCTCAACTGTGAGTATGTGTCACTGAAGGATAAAATGACTTTGGTCTTTGGCTACACTTCCTTATTGATACCAGCAATTTTATTCATCATTACGTGAACACTATCAGTCCAGAACTCATCACAGTGCCAAAGCCAAATGCTTGTAAGGTGCTTAAAGAAGAATCTATCTCATATTTTGTCCTGCTTTTTCAGTTATTCTCAATGAGAAAGTTGGTGCTAATGACTAGCCTCTAATTAACAGCAGCCTATTATACCTTTTTCAACTTCTGTCCTTTCTTACTGGGTGAGTCCTTTATAACAGTTTATTTTGTGAGTTGTACTGGTTTCTTTCTATCCTCGGTGACGATTTGCTTAATTTTAGTTGGCAAAATCAATTAATCTGTATTACCTATGGTTACTTACTGATTTAAATTTTAATCATTTTATTGTATATACTATTTTTTTCCTTTCCTGCTTTCTTTTGAATTAACTGGTTTTTTTAAGATTGGAAGATATTTACCCTATTTCTATTCTTTAATTTTAATAAGTATATTTAAAATAATAAGGTTTTAAATTAGACAGTATCTTTACTCTCTTTTCCTAAATATTTCTTTCAAATATAGCTTCATAGTCTTTAAACTTACTAAACTTATTTTGCATTCTATATCTAATAATTTCAGTATCTAAGATTGGTTCTATGATTGTTTCTAATGGCTGTCATTTATGGTGGCCTGTTTTTTGGTTCAGTAATTTTGTATTGTGAACATATATTTATTGGAATGTCTTTGTGAAGATTCTTTACAGACCTGGTTAAAGACATTACATCAAAGTAGGATTATGTCAGGTTTTTCTTTTGTGATTTTTTTTCTGTGACACCTGGAGCCAAGTATAGTAATACACAACTGTAATCCCAGCTGATTCAGGAGAATCACAAGTTCAAGCCTACCCTGGACAATTTAGCACCTTAGGGAAACCCTGTCTCAAGATAGATAGATAGATAGATAGATAGATAGATAGATAGCATTTTTTAGAAAGACATACCTGGGGAAACTGTAGTCCCACACAACTTTAAATTATAATTATCAAATTACTGTTTTTAGGCCTATAGTTGTCATAGTGGTACAAAATATAAAGATACAGTTGTTGTATTTTTATGTGTATGTCTATTAAAGTATCACTTGAATATCATGTAGTAAAGACAGTTTACTGTCTGCTTCTATGGGCTGTTATTTTTCCCACGATTGACCTAATCACTGGGTAAAATATTTCTCAGACCCTAATTTCTATGGGGGACATGCACAACTTTGGGGGAGCCATTATTCTGCTTACCACAGTGATGTATTACCATCTCTACATCAGTCTTTTTCTTCCTAATTTCCCTTCCTTTCTCTTCCTTTCTTTCTTTTGTTTCTTTCTCTCTCTCTTTCTTTCTCTTTCTTTCTTTGTTCCTTCCTTCCTTCTTTCCTTCTTTCTTTCCTCCTTTTCTTAATTCTCTCCTGTTTGCCTGCTTTTCTTCCTTCCTATAATAGATATCATGGAATAGCTTGAATAGATCCTGCTATGACTTAGCCAAAAAGGCATAGAGAACTCTTGACCAAAACTGCAAAGTTTAAGGGAGTTCTATCAATAACAGCCTCTGAACTGAGGCAAAAAGTATATCTGACTTGGATATTCAATATATTCGAGACTCATTTTGCCCATGCAATCCACATTTTAAGTTCTTCTGAACTATATTTCTGTTCTTTTTGTGAAAGTTTGCAAATTGCCCTGTATTTACCTGCCAAAGCATTCATAGTTATCTGTTTTATACCATTATATTGTTCAGTTACATTTGAGCACATCCTCTGCAGTCTTTCTGTAGTCTGTGTACATATTTTCTGGTTTTATGTTGCTATTAAATTATAGTTTGATTTTCCTGTCCACTTTAAGCTTATTGTAAATATTCTATTATTTTTTTCTAGTGTTACAGCTTCCTACAGTTTTTCATGTTGTGAAAATTTATTCTTAATTTCATCATTTTTTTTTTTTTGGCACCAGGGATTGAACTCGGGCCCTTGCGCTTGCGAGGCAGGCAGCAGAACCACTGAGCTAAATGCCCAGCCCTCATCTTATTTTAGTAATTAAAAACATTAAATACTGGCTCCAGAACAGACATATAGGGATTAATGAATGTATTAGGCATATCATTGATCTAGTAGCTATTTTGGGGGGCATCTAGAATATCTAGAAATAGTTACTCTAAAGATACCATTCCTGCCTTTAGAAGCTTTATAAGGGAAAAGATTATATAAGATAAAACAAAAACAAGTCTTATGTAGTTATAGCAATGCAGTCATAGTCTAGCATGGTCTCTGGAGCCAGAGTGAGGGATAGGAAATCCTCTGCAAAAGATATTTACTAATTTGTTACATTTGTTAATTTCAAAAGTTTAATTCACCTTTTTAATTTATTATCCTGACATATATATATATATATATTTTAAAGATATTTTAAAATATAGAAAAGCAAAAAGAAAATAAAACTATCCTAACCTCACCATTCAGAGATAGTCTATTTTAGTATATTTGCTTTTTTCCATGTTCATAAAATATATGATTTCTTAAATCAACTTTATCTTTTTACATGTTGTAAATATTTTAATGTCATGATATGTAAGTATATGTGAAGCAGACCATTATTTGGTGGTAAGAAAGAGACATGGATTCCCAAAAGGAATCATTCCTATTATTCTCTTAGTAAAGTATACGGTAAGATTTATTTTTGTTTGGTAGGTTTAACAAACCTCTTTTTTTAAAAGTCATGTATTAATCTTTTAAGGAATAATTTAAAAGTACATCTATGTTCAAAATATGTACATGATATCTGAGAGTAAGAATTTAACCTAGTTAGTATCTATTGGGGTTATTCTAAATCTACATAAAATAAAATAAACAGGGCCAGGGATTTAGCTCAGTAGTTCCACCGCCTGCCTAGCAAGCGCAAGGGCCCGAGTTCGATCCCTGGTACCAAAAAACAAACAAATAATAATAAAATAAAATTAAATAAACTGTGTTAGGTCTGTATTTGCACATTTTACCTGTTTAATAATATCTGCTTAAAGCTTTTTAGGGAGTGATGCGTAGAATCTCTGTCTTAGTTACTTTTCGTCACTAGGACACAATACCCGAAACCAGTAACTTAAAGGAGAAGTTTATTTTGGTTCACATGTTAAGTCCATAGTTGGCTGGTTCTGAGCCAGGAAGGCATAGCAGAGGGGCATAACAGGAAAATCTATTCATACCCTGGTGGCCAGGGAGCAGAACTGGAAGGAAAGACCAGGCAGGGAGATACACCCTTCCATGTCACACCTCCAGTGACTCACCTCTCACCAGGCCCCACGTCCTAACAGCAAATCAGCTGTAACCCCCATAATCCAGTCACATTCCCAAGCCCCACCTCTGAGTGCATGATGCTTTTGGGGGACATCTAGATATAAACTGTAAAACTGTCACGTTGCTACATTTGTGCTTATAGTAATATTTACATCTTTGTTATCTGAGTGGTTCCTACTAAATAATACTTTATCATTAAGATTTTATTAAGTTGTAGGCAGTGAGCAGTGATTTCTAGTTAATAATAAAATAAAATTAGAGAGAGGGTAATAGGATAATATAATGATCAAAGTAGTATGCATATATGAAAACATCACAGTGAAACCCATTATTTTATATAATTAATATGCACTAATAAAAATATCTAACACAAAATTAGAAGATCTTTTAATAATTCCTAGATGCACTATAATTTTATTAGTGGCACTAGATTTTTATTTTCATTTATTTGTAAATTTATTGATATTTATGGTACCAGAGATTGAACCCAGGCCCTTCACACCCAGGATGCCTAAATTACTGAGGCTGGACTCAAATCGGCCATACTTCTGCTTCAGTCTCCTGAGTATCTTGGATTATGCCATACTTCACACTAAACTTTTAAATATAAAGAAGATTGGTTTTGTTTAAAGGTTCAGGTTAGATTTGTGTTTCACTCTTTTCGTAGGAAGAGTTGGCCACTCTTCATCTTGGTGCCTCCATCAGCACCCCAACTGGCACTGAGAGAAGGTGACACCCTGTCCTTGTCACAGAGGCTACCAAGTGACTTAGCCATGCACAGTAGACACCCACTGAAGCCCCAAGTGGCTTTGAGTTATTTGACTTAAACAGGTGTATTTCTTTTTCATAAGCTCTAAATTAATTTAAACTTTGTTTCTCTAATATATGGATAAGGCTATTTTTATTTTGGTACACTAACAAGATGTATGATAGCCAAAATAATTTATTTTTACATTATGGTTTGAATAGGTTGCTATAAATTTATGAAAAATCTTCGTATGAATTTACTTCACACAAAATGTGAACAAAATTTTTGCTTCACACTTAGAAGTTATGCCTGCCTAAGTAGAAGGGCAGAGGAAAAGATAGGAGACTTTGATTCTTCTTGACAAAGGCATATTGTGCTTAGAAATAGTGATTATATACCATTACACCCTTGAAAGCACCAGGGCTTTCCAGCTGTGTAACACAATACTGTTGTATGCAGCAGAAAACAAAAAGGTAAGCTAATGTGTTTTCTTTTAAGGTTGGTTTTAAAGTGTATAAATTGTCACTCTTTATGACTATTCTTTAGGTTTCAGTTGTGCCTCTTAAAACTTCTACAGGTACTTAAAACAGAAGCTGAGGAACTTGTCTCTAGGAGCTACTGGGACACACTGAGACGTAACACAAGCCAAGCACTCTTTTCAGACCTCGCAGAGGTACAATTAAAGCTCAACAGCGTCCTTGTACTGCTTGCCATTTTGTTAATCTTGCCTTATTTTGTTTTAGAGTCACAAGGATGAAATAAAAAGTGTACTATATTTTCTCTTTTCTTACAATATTTAAACTGCATATTCAAAGATGCCAGCTGGGCAGGGGCTGCAAACCTTTTTTTTTTTTTTGGTACTGGGGATTGAACGCAAACTATTTTTAATATCTGTGCTAAATGAACTTCTTTGTTGTATAAAACACAACTGGCCAATTTAGCCAAAAGGAAATAATGTTATGTTTTAATTAAGGATCATTTTCTCAAATTTTGAAAATTATAATGTTATAGTTTCACTGAATCTTTTAAACTGACAGTTCACAGTGTGACATTAAATGCTGAGATGTTTCACTTGGTAAAGTTGACTCATGTTAGATTTAAACAGTTAAATTTTCTAGTATTGGTAGTAATAGCTTGCAAAGGCAGGGTAATGATATTGAGGAGGAGGGTTCTCGTAGAACAGTCAATTGAAGGAGGGAGGAATATTATTTAAGATTGTCAGTGCATGGTAAAAATAAAAGGCAGACTCACCCTATTTTAGTTTTATTATTGTTTGTAATTTGATACAGATATAAACCTATTGCTGCCCTCAGAGTAGACTGCTTCTACCACCTCACTCCTGTTAGGCCATAGTCAATAAGGATTTTAATTTTAAAGGATGGACTGTATCTTATAGACCAAATATTGTTTTATGTTTCCTAATAAGAATTTTTGTAATTAAAACTAAAACTTTTATAATTAAAAGTATCATAAAAGATTTTTATTAGAGAAATCTGTCAGTCTTCCTGGAAAAGACTTTCAGTAAACACTAAAAGGTTTGTTTTTTGCATCTTTTTCTCTTTAAAGTTGGCTTCTCTTTTCTTTTTCTAAACTTCTAAGTTTGAGTTTTACAAATTACACCTAAAAAATACCTACAGAAGTTACCAGCAATTGCTTGTGGCTTTTTTCTTCCTTTCTCTTTTTTCATGTTTTTTGTTTGGTTAGTTGGTGTTTTTTGTTTTGTTTTGTTTTGTGTTATAAGAAGAGGGTCTTGCTATTTTACCCAGGATGGCCTTGAATGCTGGACTCCAGTGATCCTCCTGCCTCAGCCTCCCTTGAAGTTAGGACTATGTGCATGTGCCACTGTGCCTGGCTTGGTTGTGATTTCTGTTATCCATATTTAGAGTGTACTCAACTGGCATCCCTAGACTAAGGCAAACACTTGGAAATGTTAATCTTGTCACTCATGTTTAATTTTAAAGTCCCCAAACAGATAAATAATGCATTTTGCAGCCTGTATGTCCATCAGCAGATGAATGGGTAAAGAAAATGTGGTATTTATATACAATGGAGTACTACTGTGCTCTAAAGAAGAACAAATTTGAGTCATTTGTAGGAAAATGGATGCACCTTGAGGCCGTAATATTAAATAAAATAAACACACAACCCAAAGTATAAACAAATCAAAGAGCAAAATAAAAGATAGATAATAGGAAATAGGAAGACACTTATTTTGCAAATGAGAAGAGAACCAAAAGATGGAGGGAAAGTGAGTGGAAGGGGACATAAAAAGAATTAAGATGTGTAATGTACATACATCAGCTCTCTACAATGAATGTAATCATTATATACCACAAACATGTACCAATAAAAATTAAAAACTATTCAAAATTGCATTTTACCCTTTAATCTGTGATATAAAAGTATAATGTAACTAAGACCAGCTGTTAAAGTTACCTTTTAAATTTGAGCCATCGTGTAGGCATGAATTGGCAGATGTTCCATGTACAGATATCCCAGAAGAGCTCTATTTTGTAATCATATTAGGTAGGCACATAGTAGTCTATGCTTTAAAATAAGAGCAAGTGGGAGCACAATCCTTGTGAGTCTCTACAAGCCAACTGTAGCCTCCGTACTCAAGTTCAAATGAACAGTCATGTGACTCTTGTGTCTCTCCATACCAGTGTCCACCTCCCAAACACAGCCCTTCCTTAGTCCCATGTAACTCTGCTATAATTCCCATAGACAAAATTTGCTCATTAGATTTTGAATTTAATTAAAATCTTGGAGGCTTCTTATCAGAAGACCAGTCAGGTCTTGTACACACAGATGATGATTTATGTAAGATCTTTGGAAAGAGTTTATGGTTCTATTAGGGTTAGAGTGGACAGCTTCTTGGAGCTGATTTTGTCCATCTCTTCCCAGCTCAACAGTGTGACTTCCCTGTAGTCCCTTGAAAGTAGCCACATAGAACAGCAACACCACAGAAATAAGCGTTACATATCAGCCAATTTTTTATTTTTCTAAAGTACCAGTTTACCAGTACACTAGTGGCTATGATTAGTCCACACTATGATCATAAGATGCTGAATGAATTAGTGAATGGACTCAAGCATCAAAAAGTAAATCTGATAAAAGATACAAAAAGGTAAAAAAGAAATTAAAACAAAATTTGTATTATGTTCCAAAAATAAAATAATTAGTTGGGGGTTATCTCTTTTACCACCCTCCTGAATTGCAGAGAATAATAATGAAAATTAACTATAATTAAATTACAACTGATTCTAATGCCTTATAGGTTACTACAGATACCAGTATAACATAGTACAGTTTATAGTATTAGTATTTCAGAATTCAAGTTGATTCAAAAAGAAAGCTTGGAAATCTCTTTATCTTTGTTACGTATTTAATGTATAATTTTGTATTTCTTTGTTACATGTATAGTTTAAGATAAAATAGTTCTCTTTAAATACTATAAGTAAATTAGATATTGACTCATATTCTTATTCCAGAGCGTTTCCAACTATAGATTTTTTAAATTATAGTAAAGCTATGTCTTTTCAATTATTATAAAATCATACAATGAAAATTTGCATGTCACTGTTGACACCACTTTCCAACCAAAATCATATATAATAAAGTCAGAGTATGTGATGAACATATTGTGCAACTGTTAAATAAGTCTGTCCATACCAGAATTATAAACTCTATTTTTCATACTACCGTTGAAATTTAAATATTTTTGTTTGCTTTAAACTTTCATTGTCCTTAATGTTTCAATAAATTATTCAAGGACCAGGGATTTAGCTCAGTGGTTCTGCTGCCTGCCTCACAGGTGCAAGTTCCCAAGTTTGATCCCTGGTACCAAAATATAAATAAATAAATAAAAATAAATTAGTCAAACATCTCATTAAATTGTTTGAAGATTTCTTCCATCCCTTGGATTGAGCTTCAAATTATCACTACATTGTAATCAGTAAAAAAATATACTGAAAGATGATTTTAAAACTTTAATATTTGACAAATTTGCATTTAATGTAAATTTATTTCATTTTTTGGAAATTATTTAAATAATTTTTATGTATGTATGGGGCTAGGGATTGATCCTAGAACCTCAGGCATGCTAAGCATACACTGTACCACTGAGCTATGCACACCCCCAGCCTAAAGTAATTTTTAATCAAAACACAATTAGATAATAGCCTTTCATATAAATGGCCCATAAGTTCTTTTCATGGCTTTTTCTCACATTTTTATGAAAACTTGTGGATTAATTTTATCTTACCAAAGAAGATAAAAGAAAGGGATAAAGTCTCTATTTTTATCTCAACCCTCTTGTAAGTTAAGTTACATAACATGGATACTCAGGTCATTGGTGTAGTTTTCAATGACTCCAAGCAGTACTCTGTTTCACAATTTAGGGAAAAGTTTTCTCCATTTTCATTTTCTGATTTTTTTTCCCTCCAATGTCAAACTCTTCCCTATGCCTCTGTGGTTCTGGATTATCTGGGTACATGCAACCTGAGTCTAATAAGATTTGGATGCTGAAAGACTACGTGAAGCTCTGCCCTGCTCTGTGGGCATGAGGACTTCTAAATGAGGTCATTATGTAAAACCTGTATAAAACAAGTCTCTCATTTTAGTATACTCTGTTTTGAGGTAAAGAATATCACAACACTGGAGAAAACATTGCTTAATTATGTTTCTGAGTTTGCTAACTGTTGATGTTCTCAGAACCTTGCATTTTAAGGCATTTTTAAAGCTTTTTACAGCATATATTTCAATAATAAAAAAGTGTACTGTGTAAAAAATCCCTTTATTTACAACATTTCAACATTACTGTGTTTTTGTCAGCTAGTCTTTTTTAAACTTCCTGAAACATTAACTTGTCAAGAATAATAATAGCTAACTTTGTGGGGGGTGGGGAGGCTGTACTGTGATTAAACCCAGGGTCTTCTCACTGCCACATCCCTAGCCCTTTTTATATTTTTTATTTTGAGATAGGGTCTCACTGAATTGCCTGGGCTGGGCTCAAACTTGGGATATTCCTGCCTCAGCCTCCCAGAGTGCTAGGATTACAGGCATGTGCCACCACACCCGGTTTAGCTAGCATTTCTTGAACATTTACAATCTGAGCATGCTAGTCACGGTGCTAAAAATTTACATGTGCTATCTCATGCATATGTACTATTATTATTCTTGAAGATAATATCCTGAGAAAGATTAACTTTTCTAAGGTCACTTAAATAATGAGAAGGGTCAGCATTCAGAGCCAGCCATCTGACTCTTGACATTTGCTCACCACACTACTGTTTGTTTGTGAAGTAAGTACTTTTTTTAAAAGGACAGTATCCTGGTGAAAAGCTGTTCTATGAACCTTTTGGTCATTCTTATGTCAGCTCCAAATACCTGGTGCATCTGAAGAATTTATCTCTTGAACATCATAAAAAAAATTGTTTTTCAGGTTAATTAAGAAAATCCAAATTAAATTATTTAATAAAAAATACCACATTTAGATGATTACTAGAGGATTTAAACTTTTAAATAATTTAGCATGCACATGCATAACTTGAAATTTCCTTAAAATATCAAGTCTTCAATATTTTTAAAATAAAAACATCAGTTTTGTTCAAATTTCAGTTTTCAAAATGTGAACTTCTTTTTAGCTATAATTTCATTTATAAATTCACCCCGTTCTTTTCACTCTAACAGTATCATTGTATTTTGCTTATATTGATAAAATTCATTGAGGGATATTGGATATCTCTGTTCTCTTTCTTTTATTGCAACTAACTTTTAATTTGTGGGCTTTTTTTAAGCATGCTGATGACATCACAAGTTTAGTAGCAGATACTACACTTCTTGTCCACTTTTTTGGAAAGAAAGGAAAAGCTGAACTCAACTTTGAAGACTTTTATAGGTAAGCTTAATTTTTACTAAAAAGTATTAGAATGCTAAAATGAAAAGGGTCTTTAGAGTTAATCTGACACACTGATAAGCACTTTGCTACTTTCATCTCAACTATAAATACTTTGTATGATAAATATGCATTTTTGTCAGTGCCTGTAAACTCATGGTTATATCACTAATTCTAACAGATAATTAATAAATGATAAAAATAATCTGCCTGTGTTATTATCTACTGTATATTCAGAAGAAAGTATGTTGCCAGTTCTTTAGTCTGAGTAAGCCACAGTCACTACTCTGCAAGCTACTTTTATTATCCCTCCTTCACAGAAGGGAAACTCAAGTCCTGAAAGGTTAAATTACTTGCTGCAAATGCTGTAGTCATTGAGTGGTAAACCCTCTCAGAACTTGTGCTCTTTGCTTTCTCATTACACAGAAATTTCATGAAGCTTTGTGTCATGTCATTAAATCAGTGTCATGTAACCTTTTCTAGAACAGTGAATATTTGGTCATTTATCTTGTTCATTCTTTCTTATACTTTTTTCATAGATTCATGGATAACCTCCAAACAGAAGTTCTAGAAATAGAATTTCTTTCTTACTCTAATGGAATGAATACTATCAGTGAGGAAGATTTTGCTCATATTCTTTTACGATATACAAATGTGGAAAATACATCGGTATTTTTGGAAAATGTGCATTACAGTATACCTGAAGAGAAGGTATCTGATCCCTCATGTTTATTTTGTTACATCAATTATTTTATATTTATATAGGTCTATAAAATATCTTTCCCTTTTGTTAGTTTTCTTGCTTCATTGTAAATTAAGATATTCTAAATAGGGCTGGGGATTTAGCTCAGTGGTTTCGCCGCCTGCTGCGCAAGCACAAGGACCCAAGTTCGATCCCCGGTACCAAAAAAAAACAAAAAACAAAGATATTCTAAATATATGTTACTTTTTCCTCTGTGTCCTCAGTGCTGTCTAAATTTTTTAAAATTAACTTTAAATTCTGAGTAGATACCCATCTTTTTCTTAGGTATGCTGAAAACCCTTATGGATATTAGCAATTATTTTATTCAAATTACACACATTAGTTTTCAAGAGAATTCTGCTGATTTGTATGCTTTGACTACCATGTAAGCATCACCTCATATAAACAGTTTATATTGACATTATTTCTGTCACACTCTGTTCATTTCTATAACACCCTTTAAAAGGTCATTTCAAGACTGCCATTGATGAGTGAGTGATCTTATCAGAAGTTGAAGTGAGGCTTTTCAAAGAGTTTGGATGGCATGAATGGTTAAGAACCTGGGACAACTGGTTGTCTGTTTGTTTAGTAACAAAATGTGTTGTCAGCACTTCTGAGAGTTGCATTATCTAGTGGTATTTGAATGCACCATTGCAACCAAATAGAACTGGTGTCACAAGGACCACTTTAAGCATGGGGATGTTTTGGATATATTGCCTTCTATTTGTGTTTATAGGAGGATCAAGTTAATCTGTCCAAGAAAAACATTGCAAATAGCTTGACTTTGTTTAAAATGGATACACAGTGAAGATATTAACAATTCACTAGGTCCTCTAAGGAATGGAGAGAAAAAAAAAAGACTTGATGTATTTGACCATTAGTATATGTTATCTTTTAAGCAGCAGACTTTTATCTGTTTACTTGTAACTCATAGACAGTTCCTAAAAATAAATATTGGAAATCACAACACTCAAAGGACAAGACTATTATGTAGGGCCTTGAATCTGTTTTGTTTTTTCTTTCATTAAATGGAAACATCAAAATTTATAACTCAGAAGATCAAATTCCAAGAATGATGAATTTATAAGAGCTCATTGTACTATTTTATAGTTAATTTTTGCATGTAAAATTATTTCAAAATAAATATTTTTAAGTTAAATTCAGCTTCTAAAAATTTCTAGTTAATAATAGCACTAAAATCATTCTAATAGAAATGGAAAATTTTGGATTAATTGATTAATTCTCATAGGTATTTTTTTCTAGATTACCTCAACAGTTCTCACAATAAATTTACAGATATCTTCCTTGTTTATACTTCTTTGTAGCATTTTTTAAATTTTTAATTATTTTATTAGTACAGTACATCTTTCTTTTGGAAAAAGGAAGACTGAGGTTTTCAGGTACTGGGATACTTATCCAAGTATTCAAATACAGGACTTTCTAAGCCAGTGATACCTCCACCATACTCTACATGCCTTTCCCTTTCTTCCACCTCTCATCTTTCTCTCTCCATTAGAAAAAACAATACTTCTATTTGACTAGCATTTTGTATTTCTAAAATACTCATTTTCAGCATCTTATCTAGCACATACTTGTTATCTGTTTATGAGCTTGGACTAGCCACTAAGGATAAAGCAGTTCTATAAACAAAATCTTAATAGAGGGGAAAAAAATCAACAAGTAAAAATAAACAATGATAATAAATGTGAAGCAGACCAGGAATCATGGGGACTGGAGAAGCATGTAGACTAGCAGGGAGAGGTCTAGTGAAGAGGTGGTATTTGAGGAGAGCCTATGAGGAATAAGCTATGCAAAGACCTGGAAGAAGAGCATTTCAGGCAGAGATAGAAGCAAATAGCAAAGGTCTAGGGAGGGAATAAAAGGTTGATTTAGCTGAGAAAATACCAAGAAGCATTTTATAAGTGAACAGGAAAGTAGTAAGTGATGAAGATGAATCAGTCTTAAAAGTCCCTGGAGACTAATGGAAGGGAGTTTAATTTTTTTTTTATTCTAATAGTGACACTAAGTGATAAAAATCTGTTGCAAAGTTTAAATTTTAAAACGGGTTGGTTGACAGGCTACCCCCACAACCACCACCTATTTTTGTATATAAAGTCTTATTGGAACATAGCCATGATCATTCATTTAATGCCTTGTCTGTGGGTACTTTTGCACCATAATGGTAAAACTGAGTAATTTCAGCAGAGACCATATGGGCAGCAAAAATGGCTACTCCCTAGCCGTTTTCAGAAAAAGTTTACAAGCCTTGCTTTAAGCATAGGCATGTCATTCATTCCTTCTTCATTCAACAAGTGTTCAGTGTCTACTGTGACACTCCGTTGTGATCTAATTCATGCACCCCATGTAATCTGATTGATGTTTCACAAGCTCATCTTGGCTGCTACATGATTACAAACTTTAGTTGGCTCAGATTTGAAAGAAACAAGATTCTCTTATTAGGAGTCCAGGTAAGAGATAAGCATGGTTTGGACTGGGATAAAAGTAGGGAAAAGAAGTGAGATATTGAATCATTTAAAACAGAACTGTTAGAACTTGTTCTTGGATTCTACTTCAACGTGAAGGAAAAAGAATCAAGATTCTTAGGTTTTGAGTTCCTCAAGGTCAAGAGCGAGAAGAGCGGCCTCACGTCCACCTGAGGCAGCGCGTCCTGGGTCCGCCCTGCCGGGTACTGTACTCGGGTCAGGAGGTTCCGGCAGAGAGAGCCACCCGCCGCCCGTCTCACGGGCGCCCAGGACTGAGCCCGGCCCCGGGCAGAGCAGGTCTCTTTGGCGAGGCTTTTTATTTTACCTGGGAAAGGAGATACTTTTTGTGGAAAGAGTACAATTAAAAGCACAGCATCGAGGGCCGGGGATTTAGCTCAGTGGTTCCACCGCCTGCCTCACAAGCGGAAGGTCCCGAGTTCGATCCCTGGTACCAAAAAAAAAAAAAAGAATTCTTAAGTTTTGGCCTTCATCACAAGGTGCAACAGTGGTAGCATTTATGGAACTAGGTAAGACCACAGATTTGGAATTAAGAGACAATCAGAAGTTTAACTATGGAAAGGCTAAGGTTGCTGTTCCTAGTTATATATCTAGGTGAAGATATTAAGTAGTTGAATATGTGCATCTAGCCTTCAGAGTACAATCAGGACTAGAGATCAGTAGTCAGTAGTGTATAGACTTCAAGATTATGGCTTACTGGTTGTAAAATTTGTTTCACACACCATCTTCCCACTTTCACTTAATGGAAACTCCATTCTTCCTAGTTCACTTCCAAAACATTTTAATTGTACTGAAGTAAACCCGTGTAACATTCAGAAGATCCTCTGTATTTCCTTTTCCTCTATCCTCTTGAAGCCAACACTCTGCTTTCTCTTTGGATTTATCTATTGGAGATGCTCAGTATAAATGGATTCATACATATATGACCTTTTAAATTCTTTAATAATGTTTTTGAGGTTCATCCACATCATAGCATGTATGAGTACTTCATTCTTGCTATGACTGAATGATTATAATTACATGTACATTTCAAGGTTTGTTTATTCATTCATCCATACATAGACATTTGAGCTATTTCTGTCTTTTGGCTGTGTGAATAGAGCTGCTAAGAATATACATGTTCATGGATTTGTTTGAATACCACTTTTCATTTCTTTTCTGTGTACACCTAGAAGTGGAATTGCTGTGTGATACATTATTATCCTTTTTTTAATTATCATTATTATAACCATGCTAGTGGTACCCATGTAGTTAACTTTAACTATAATCTTTATTCCTTCATATGGCTACAAATTACTATTTCCTTTATTTTCAGCCTGAAGTATTTCCTCTAACATTTTCAGGAGGGAGGTGGTTAAGGGCAGATGTGTGAGTGATAAGCTCCTCTGCCTTTTGTTTATCTAGGAATGTCTTAATTTCATCTTCATTTTTGAAAGATGGTTTTGCCAAATATACAGTTCTTGATTGATGGATTTATTTCTTTAAGCACTTGAAATATATCCCCCCCCCAGTATGGTTTTGATGAGAAATCAGCTGTTAACTTTATTGAGGCTTGCTTCTATATCAAGAGTCATTTCTCTCATGCTGCTTATAAGATTATCTTTTTGTGTTTGGCTTTCCATAACTTGATAATAATGTGTCTTTATATGGGTCTCTGTGAATTTATCCTCCTTACAGTTCATTCAACTTCTTAGATGTGTAGACTCGTGTCATTCATCAAATTTTGGAACTTTTCAACCATTATTTCTTCAAATACTCTTTCTCCTCATCTCTTTCTCTTTCCTTCTCTCAGTCTCATTAAAGTATATGTTGATACACTTGATGGCATCCCAGGTCCTTTACACTCTGTTCACTTTTCTTTATTCTCTTTCTTCTATTCCTCAAATTGCATAAATTTTCCTTTGATTTTACTGATTCCTTATTCTGCCTGCTCGGATCTGTTAATGAACCTGTGTGGTGAAGTTTTCGTGTCAGCTATTAGACTTTTCATCTCCATAATTTTTGTTTCTCTTTATAGTTTTATAGTTTTTTTAGTTTTTTATAGTTTATTGTCTTGTAGTTTCTCTATTGATACTCTCATTTTGATCATCATTTTCCTATTTTTTTAGTTCTTTGAGGTTTCCTTTAGCTCTTTTGAATACATTTAAGCAGTTGATTTAAAGTCTTTGTGTAATCAATCCAATGTCTGGAATTTCTCAGAAGTTGCTCTGCTGATTTATTTTTTTCCTGCAAATGGACCTCATTTTTCTTGCATGCCCTGTAATTTTTTTACTAAACACTGGAAATTTTGAGTATTACAGTCTAGTAACTCTGGAAATAATATACTCTCTCTGCAGTCATCCATTTCTGTACTTTTCCAAACTATTTTGTAAAGGCTACAGTCTTTGTTGTGTGTAGTCACCAAAGTCTGTTTTGTTGTCTTAGTGGTCCAACAGTGAACTGACAGATTTCCTTAAAAACCTACAGTCAAAAAGAAAATCAGTAGTATTCTCCTACTCTTTGAAGCTTAGCTATAAGTTAGAGTACTCCTTGAACACTAAAGCAGACTGCCTGAAACTTTTCTTTAGCCTGTACCTCTTGCTTGCACAAAGCACACAAACCTTCCAGAGGTTGTAGCCTAGGGTGCTCTTGGGTCTTTTCTGAATATGTATCCAACTCTTAGGTGTGTGCATTGTACTCCAGTTTCCCAGGAATATACAATGGCCCTTTAAGCCCCTATTGCTCTATTAGCCATTATTATCAGATTCCTCCATTGCAGGCTTTTGAGTTTTGTCTGTCACTTATTGTATTGCATCCTTTGTCCAGTTAAGAATGGAGTATGCCTGTCTGTAAATCTTTTGACAGGCTGTTATCACCAGGTGAGCTGCTCCCGTGCAAGAGAGGGAACAAAACAAAAATCAGCCTCTGCTGATTTGACCCTAGGCCCTCAGGGGTCAAATCACACACCATAGTACCTTGAGAACAAGGTCTATGTGAGCCCCCGAACAGCAGCAAGCTGTACCAGAAATGCCAGCTAGCATCCCCAAAGCTACTGCCACAGCATTGAAAAATAATGGATGGTGGTTCAATGGATGACTGCATCACAGTACTCTGTCAGTAAATTTCAGCCACCCTTTTCTTCACCCTGCTTGCTGTAAATTTTGGATTACATTCCAGAGTTCAAAAACAAAGTTGATTTTGTCAGTCTTCCCCAGCTTATGGTTGTTTCTATAGAGGGACTGATTCTTTAAGTACCATTTTCCAGGATGGTGCTCCCCCATTCTCCTTCTGTACTTTTAACAATTATTCAGACTTACATACTTCAACCATCTTAGAGAAAGAAAACCTTTTTGGGCAGTAATGTCTGTTTATTTGTCAGCTTACTGTTATGGATATATACCAAACACATTATCAATTTGAACAACTGATGCAGTTATACTAGCAATTTGATATCCACAACTTTTTAAAAGATAGAATCTCACTATTTTAGGCTAGCATTGAACTCACCACTGTATGTACCCCAGGCTGGCTTGCAACTCACCATGATCCTCCCACCTCAGTCTCCTGAGTGTTGGGATTATAGGCATGCACCACCACATCCGGTTCTCCACAACTTTTTCTACTTTGTCTTTTTGTTGAATTATATCTTATTAACTATGTCAGTTTTTCCCACTTATAACTTAGCACCGTTCAAATGTACCTGTAAATGCTTTCATTACATCCTGAATAACATACTTCAATAAATGTATATAATTTTATTGTGGTACAATACATACAGCATGAAATTTACTACTTTAACCATTTTAACATATAAAATTCAGTGATATTAAATACATTCATAATGCTGTACAACCATCACTCCCTCTACTTCCAAAAGCTTTTCACTTTCCAAACAGAAACACTCCACCCACACAGAATTGAGTATCTACTTTGGAGTAATGTCTACATCACATGGCAACCTTGTATTTAATATTCTGAGGTGCTACCAAACTGTTTTCAAAGTACCTATACCATTTCTACAGTACCGTTAACAATGCATAAAGTTTCGAATTTCTGTACATCCTCACCAGCACTTGTTATTGTCTACCATTTTGATTTAGTCATTTTAGTAGGTATGAAGTGGTATGTCATTGTGGTTTTTATTTGCATTTCCCCATTTGTAAGTAATTATGTTCAGCAGTTTTTCAAATATTTGTTGACCATTTATATATCTTCTTTGGATAAGTGTCTGTTCAAGTCCTTTGCCTATTTTCTAAGTTGAATTCTTTGTCTTTTGGGTTTGATTTGTGAGAGTTCTTATATGTTCTCTATTAAGATGAGATATATGGATGTATAAGTTTTCTTACACATTCTGTGGTGGGTTGTCTTTTCACTTTCTTGATAGCATCCTTTGATGCCTACAAGTTTTTAATTTTGATAAAATCTAATTTTTTATTTTTCATCTTGTGCTTTTAGGATCATATTTAAGAAACCATTGTCAACAAGAGAAGTTGCTGCATGCCAGCTCAGTTGTTCTATATAAAAATGTTGATAATTGCAGAATTATCCTAGGACCTTATTTTTTTCTTTATTTCTAACTTTAAATTCTTTATAAACACCATAGAATGGAAAATACTTTTTTTTTTAAAAATTGCTGAATAGAAAATGTTTGAAAATTTAGTTTTCTTTTATGTGTGCAGACACATAAAATATAGGGGAAATACAACAATCAAAACTGATTTTTTTGTAGATAGCCAGTACATTTCCTTAAACTACTTCAATGCCAATGTGTATTATACGAAGAGAATGGATTCATAAATTCATTGATTTAAAAGCAGCTGCTGATATTTTTTATTAAAAAATAAATTTTACCTAGTGAAATAAAAAAAAGAAACCATTGTCAAATAATAAGTCACAAAATTGTGTCTCTGATTTTCTTTTGTAAGATTTTATAATTTTAGTAATAAATGTAGGTCTTTGATCAATTTTTTAGCCCATTTTTGTAAATGGTATGAAGGGTTTGACTTGTTTCTTTTGCCTATGGATATCCAGTTGTCCTAGCACCATTTGTTGAAGAGACAGTTGTTTCCAAAATAAATGGTATTGGGCTGGGGGTTTGGCTCATTGGTTCTGCCACTTGCCTTCCAAGCACAGGGTCCTGAGTTTGATCCCTGGTACCAAAAAAATTTAAAAGATTTAAAAAATAAATAGTGTTAGCATCCTATTGAAAAATCAACCAACCATAGACATTTGGGTTTATTTCTGTACTTTTATTGTATATATTTTAATGCTTTAAATTTTTCAGTTCTTTTTTGTTATTAGCATGTTAGCTAATTTTCATTTTTACCTCTAACAGGGTACACTCCATTCGAGTCCCAGTGACTTATCACAGTAATAATTGTGGAAATGAGGGTGTGCCAAAAAAGAAACAGTTGTAACCCTTATCTCTGTTCCCCCTCCATACTGTCTGTCTCTCTGTGCTATTAAGGATGTTTGCTTTAAATTATGTCCTTCAAAGTAGATGTCCTACTTTTTGTCTTACAATTTTATAGCTTCAAACAGTAAAGTATATAATCTACACATAAGGATTCCTGTGTGGTTTTGAATTTGATTGTCTTTCTAGACATTTAGAACTGTTATTTTGAAAATCTAAAGGTTCAGATGTTGAACATTGTAGTTTGTCATCCTTCAGTTTATTTCAGAAATTTATTCTCCTCAAAAGTATTGATGTCTTTGTTCACCCTTTGCTTAAAAATATCCCATCCTCCTATCTCTTACTTGTACTGGCAGTAACTTGTCATTCTGAGACAGACAGGATGCTGTGTGTTGCTGTGGTAGCTGGTCAGAGTATATACTGGTACAGAACTAGAGCAGTGATCAGTTTCCCTGGCAACAATCTCTCCATATCAAAACAGATCATTCTGGTGCAGTCTGTCTGAAGGATTCTAGTAGCACTAGAAATCTTAGGGTATGGGATCAGGTCACACAGCAGGATCCAGGACTGAAGTAGCCATAACAAACATAAGGAAGAGAGAACAGAAAAATGTAAAGAGAAAATGACAATGAGAAATCTCATGTTGCAAGTGAAAGAGGGTTTGGAATTGAAGTGGAATAATGTATACCAAAAATTGGATATTTTGCTAATAGATCATTTAACCAGTAAGCAGCATACAGGAAAATAAACGCCTCTGGGGTTTTTCCTAGCTTTCCTTTTTTACTCATTTTATGGCAAATAAGCCTAAGATCTTGGCCCTCTAATCTTGGCCCTCTACTCTTTTCTCAGAGTACTTTCTCATTTATGTTAACTGTGTTGAGGAGAACACATTAACTAAACCTAGCTCCTCATGTCCAAATTTGTATCCTCTGAGATCGTAAGCTGACAAATAAGTAGTTATGACTGCCCAATGTGGGCACTTTCTATTCTCTGAGATACAATGAACTTATTTAAAATAATTTTCTTATTTAATTGAAGTAGTATCAGTGGTAGTAATTGCATTTTTTTGTATTAGATTCTTTTATTGGTACATTGTAGGTATACAACGCAATTACATTTCTCAGTAATTGCATTTTATGCACACGACATTCCAGAAGAGGTTACCCTGGCTGCTAGCCCTTTACATGATCTCTGCAGGGTGTGTGCTGAGCTCCCAGTGCTCTATCTGCACAGCCCACTGTACTTTCTCTTGCTGTGTTGGCAGCATTATCGTAACAGCAACAAGTTCAAACAGACTACTATTGATGCTTAGTCAACATGTTGATTTTGCATTGTCATTATAAAGACATGAATGATCTAATGTAGAATCCAATTTAAGAAGTACATGTGTCAGGGAAACTTTTTTATGTTTTTTTCTTAATCCCCATATTTTCAGGGATTTTTAAAAATGAGCCTTAGAGGATTTTCAAAATTGAAATTTTTTATTCATTTTTACTATAGCATTTTGGGGAACTCTGTGTTGTTAAGGACAGTATTTTTAAAATATTCACCTCTTATTGTCATGGTAGCAACCCTGACCAGTGAAAATAAGTGTGAGTGAATCTTACAGTCCATTTGGAGAAAAAGGTTTCAGATTGAGCCCTGGAAATGTTTATATGCAAGTTATATTGCAGATGCTTAATCTGTTTGTTTCTATTGAGTAGATATTTATTTAAATAAATTTGGCACCAGTAATTGTATTTACATTTATTTTCCCAAAATAGGGCATCACATTTGATGAATTCAGATCGTTTTTCCAGTTTCTGAACAACCTAGAAGACTTTGCAATAGCCCTAAACATGTATAACTTTGCAAGCCGTTCTATAGGACAAGGTAAGTAATCATTCTTCAAAACTTAAAAGCAAAAAATAATTCTACATTGTTTATAGAAACTTTGGCAACAACTTAATTAGCTATGTTGTATCATCCATCAACTTCCCTGAACGTCTTGTTTATAATTTCAGTGAGAAAGAGGTTCTGACATTTAAAAAAAATTTAGGGAAATGTGCTAAGTTTTTAAAAATTCATTTTTGTCTTTAATTTCATATTATGAGGAAAAACTCATGATGTTTATTTAAAAAAAGTACAATAAAGAGACAACCTCGTGGCTGTTGGGTAACACTGAAGGACATGTCTACCTAGAGAGACCTTGTCAGCCATGATCCAGACATTCTCCAGGATACTATTTATTTTACCTACTGGATGAAAAACTGGAAATTTGTCAGCAGAGCCACCTCCTAGCCATGAATTTACTTATGTTAACTGATTTTTGAGAATAGTGTATAAAATTGAATAATGACTTGCCATTATTTACCAAAAAATAAAGTTGTCATAGAATTCGGAATGCCTCTGTCCTCAGAACCACCTAGCTGGCTTGTTCTTTGTAGGTTGGCTGACAAGCCAAGTCCTTTTGCTACTATTTTGTGTCTACAGTTACCTTTTCTCCCTTCGTGGCCATATAGCCTTTTTAAAAATTCATACTATTGGGAGACGTTTTATTTGCATCTTTTAAGATGATTTCAGCTGTCTCTGCTATAATCAAATAATGTGTTAATTCTCATGTTTAAATCTCAGAGGACAGTCTAGGGTTTTAAGGGGCTTGGATTCAATCCGTAGCACCAAAACAAACAAATAAAAGCCCTTAACACCCATGGATAATAAATCCATTATCTGGCTTCATTTATTTATTCGTTAAGAGAAACTAGAAAATTCATTTTTTATTCTTTCTATAGCCCAAATATGTTTAAATATGCTATCTTCTCAAACCAAATATGTTCACATATGCTATTTTCTATGGTCAAATATTCTGTCTTCTCAAACTACTTTAGTGTTTTCAAACCAAAACTTTTAGAACCAAGACATCAAAGAACTGCCTTTACTACTATGATAAGCTTTCAAAAAAAAAATCAGTATCTACTTACTTGATTCAGAATAGAAAGCTGCTCTTTTACATTGGGAACTTAGAAGTAGAAAAAATTAATTGTGTTGCTCTTGCAGTACAGTACTAGGAATATATCTATCTCTTTATTTTCTTTTGCCAGTGCTAGCATCTTAATTAGGATTATTACTTCTTCAAAGTACTATTGCATAAGCCACCTAAGTGACATTCCAACAACTAGCTACTTTCCTTTCTAATATTTCCTAGACAACTCACAGAATCTTTCTAAAACACAAATTAACCTTTCTACGACATACCTTCTATGGAAAACTCTTAAGTTTTTTAGATGCCTTCTGCCTGAAAGGCAGCAGCTCTATTCAGAGCTTCTCTAGATCCTACATGTCCCCTGTTACAGCCAAACCAGATTGTTGTCTTCTGAATATGCTCTCTTGTTCATGCTCTCATGTTCACTCATGTCCTCTCATCTGCTATTTCCCTCATCATTATAAGTTGAAATCATTCCTCCTTCAAGGCGTAGCTCAAATACAAAAATTACCACCTTTCCAAATCACTGTGGTTCTCGCCCTTCTCTCTACCCTGCAAATAGAAGTAATCATTCATTTCTAAATTATTCACAGCACTTTATTGGTACATTTTTGGATGGCCCTCTATAGTGGTTGTTTGGGCAAGTGACTCATATTCCATCTGACTTTTTCTTGAAAGCTTATTTATCTTAATAGTTTCCCTATCACTGACAGTAGATACTAATTAATATTCATTGGTTATGAATGTATTATTAACCAAAATACAGTTACTAGGGGCCGGAGATTTAGCTCAGTGGTGCCACCACCTGCCTCGCAAGCGCAAGGTCCCGAGTTTGATCCCCGGTACCAAAAAAAACAAAACAAAACAAAATACAGTTACTTTTTGGGGGGTGGGGGGAGCAGTACCAGGGATCAAACTTGGGACCTTGCACTTGCGAGGCAGGCGGCAGCACCACTGAGCTAAATCTCCGGCCCCTACAGTTACTTTTTGATCTTTTCATTAAATACACAAAATCTTATTCCCTAAAAAGCAGTATAATTAAGAAGAGTCATGTATTATATAATATCATGACCCATGTTTAAAAAACTTCTTTAACATCCTTCCTAGTAATTAACATATACTAAAAAATAAAGTTAATAGGCTGTTTTTCTTTTTATGTGACATTTATCTAGATGAATTTAAACGTGCTGTCTACGTAGCTACTGGACTTAAACTTTCACCTCATTTAGTGAATACTGTCTTCAAGATTTTTGACGTTGACAAAGATGACCAGTTAAGTTATAAAGAATTTATTGGAATTATGAAAGACAGACTTCATAGAGGATTCCGGGTAAACTTACACATTTCCAGCCTATTACTATTCTTTTTAAAATCTGAGTATAAAAAAATATGCATTCAGAAAGTTTATACAAATTTTTAAGAATATAAATATGAAATGCTTTATTAGGAAAGAAAAGTCATAGGCCCTTTCTACTTTCAAACATAGTTTGAGGTGATAAATAAAAATACAGATAAATAAAAATACAGAAAATGATTTTGACTTCTAATAATTTATTTTCATATTCAATTAATGTTTTTAGCTCAGTTGCCAGATATTTTTGAAAAATCCAGTCCCCATATTGGCTTTTTGGACTTGCTAATATGCAAGGAACTAATACTATTTCTCATTTTCTATGAGAAACATTCCTTCTAGGCAGTTTGAGACTCCCTAAGTTATCACATATTCATTATCATTTATGTGGAAAACAAATTTTAAAAGGGTTTTGCCTGTAAAAATATTTTTTTCTGTTGACATACTAAAAGTCACTACTTGAAATTCAATGATTTTTTTTCTAAGAAACATGCTATAAAGCTTGAAATATAGCATGATTCAATAAATGTTTTAAGTATCTAACATATTTGTGGAGGTGCCACAAATGGAAAAAGAAAAACTTCTATTAAAATTAACAGCTAGTATATTCAGTCTTCCCTCTTTAGCAAGGATATCCCTAAGTATTATACATTTTAAAATAGAAAAACCTATATATATCTAAGAAAAAAATCAAGATTCATCTTAGTGTGTTTTTAGTTTTGTAATGACTAAATCGAGGCTGTCTTGGTAAAGATGCTGTGTACTCAGCTGCCACCTAGTGGTTCTTTGCCACAGCAATCAGATAATGCCACAGATATTGAAAAAGACAGATAATAAAAATAAATGTAAACTATGCTTTAAACCTTTGATGCTGTTTCTCCCTTAGGTGCTGTGTTTTTATTTTTATGTGTTTATTACATACCTGTGGGCCCTATAGCATTTTATTTACATTTGCACACTTAAAAATTTGTATTTGACAAATACAAATTGTATATATTTATGCAGTATTATGTAATGTTTTGATATATGTATACATTATAGAATGATTATATCAACCTAATTAATATATCCATTACCTCACATACTTAAAGATATATGAAGAGTATACTTACAAAAAATAGTAAGAATATTTTTAATCTATTTTTAAAAGCAGTTTTAAAATACACAATACATCCCAGCACTTGGGAGGCTCAGGTAGAAGGATCACCATGAGTTTGAGTGGAGCCTGGGCTACATTGTGAGTCTGTGGCCAGCCTACATAGTGAGACCCTGTCTCAAAAAAATAAAATACACAATCCATAATTATTAACTGTAGTTACCTTTCTATGCAATTAATCTTGCAAACTTATTCTATCAAATGGGGATTTTCTAATCTTTGGTTAACTTCCTCCCACCCCACCCCCAGACCTCCTATCCTTTGGTGACCACCATTCTACTCTACTTCGAGTTTGACCTTTTTATATTCCACCTTTAAGTGAAATTGTGCTTTATGTTTCTTTCTGTATACTTGAACATTTTTAATTCTCTGTTCTACAGGGTTATAAGACAGTCCAAAAGTATCCTACTTTCAAATCTTGCCTGAAAAAAGAACTTCATAGCAGATAAAGTAAGTTAACTTCTATTTTTCTAAATTTGTTAAGTAACACAAAAAAGAGTTGTAATTTATTTTTCTGTTACAATATTTAGAAAATAGCCAAAAAGAGGGTAGGGGTGTAGCTAAGTGGTAGAGCACATGCACAACATGTATAAGGTCCTCAGTTTGAGCCCCAGCACCTCCAAAAAGGAAAAAAGGAAAATATCTGAAAGAAATAGAATTATAATTTAAATTTTTAAGCCACTTAAGTATCTTGATTTAAAATATTTTATGTTGAACTTTTTTTTTGTACCTGAGCAGGTACAGTATAATAAATTCAAATTGTACTTCTATAATGTAAGATTGCTAGCACCTAAGGAGTGTATGTGTTACTGGTTTTGGTGACTGTGATTCTGAACTTTTGCTATTTTTTAAATAATTATTTTAGATGACAGACAGTATACTAAGTGTTGTTTTACATGTGGTATCTCATTTAATTCTCAGAGATAGATATCCCATTCAACAACAGTGAAAATAAAGGTTAGGTTAGCAAGTAACAACTAAAATAACTAGCAAGTAACTGACACACCAGGATTTGAGCTTTATTTTCCTGATGGCAAAACCATCTTATTTATTATTTACTACACAGTTATCAGAGATTGGAATAATGAGGAAGATTTAGGAGATCTGTTCCATTTGAACTGACCAAAGAAATACCTAAAACTTGTTACTAGTCTTCAAAACAAAGGATTTGTCCCCCCCGCCTTTTTTTTAAAGTCAGATGTAGCTACAAAACTTGAATCAATTGTAGATTTTGCTTAGGTTTTCAGAACAGAAGGGTTTTTTATTTATAAATGAAGGCATTTGCATATTGCTTGCTGTTTTCTTCAAGCTTGAAGCATTTGTGTATGTCTGTAGGACTGTTTCATAAGTGGTTCATCAGGATATCAATGCATATTTTTCTTAAAAAAATAGCTGGGCATGGTCAAGAGGCTAGGACAGGAGGATCGCCACAAGTTTGAGGCTAGCCTGAGATACAAAGCAAGACCCCATCACAAAAAACCCAAAAACATTAAATTGAATTTTAAAAATAGAACTGTTTAGTCAAGTTTGAAAAAATATAATACAATGATTCAATCGGTTCCTTCATAGAATTTATCACACTTTACTATACTACTATGCATTTTCTTTCTAAAAGGAAACTGTACTAATCAGCATTTTTCAAAGAGGCTCTGAGATCTAATGTTTTAGAGAATCCATTTGGGGAAATACTGTTATAAAATGTTACAGCAACAAGTAGCCGTATTTATTTATCTAAGGCCATTCCATTTATACATCTATATAAGTAATATTCCAATTTATAGTAGCATTACACTAACACTACAGATTCTACATATTAGTACATAGAACCATAGGTAGAAGTGACCTTTTTCTAGACCTAAGACTGAAGATTACAAAAGTTTCTCATGAAACACTGAACTTTTAAAGTCAAGGAAAGGTTGTATAATTACTTTAAGTGTTTGTTTTATATATTTTATGTGGAATGTTTTTACTAATTTCATATGATTTTCTTAAGAATTTTGATTAATGTCATCACCTCTGAGTTATAGCCAACATAATCACTTTTGTATTTTTCTATTTCTTTTAATCCAATAGTCCTAAACCAAACTTTAAAGAACTATTATCTGACAAACACAGAAGCAAAAATTTCTGAATGGAAGCAAGTCTGAGATCAGAACATGTAAAAAATGAAAGAAAAGATGAAATTTCTATTTTTCTTGAATGGAATTCTTAAATGCATAAAATGCTTCTTCTATCTTTGTTATATTAATCAGGTTGAGCTTTTGCCTTGATTTACCGAACTCTGCACTTTTTCATTCCTTTCAGAAGTATAAAGACACTTCCAGTGACTATATAATAATGTATTTTAAATATTTCTATTTATTTATTTATTAAAACTTTGCCTCATTTCACAGTACTTTATGGCTCATAGAATGTAGATCACCTAAAAATGGACAACACATTTTCTCTTGTTTTGGACTGTGAACTTAATTTGGAAAATGAATATTGCTTTTATTTATCTTAGGGCCCTTAGAATTGTTAGTAAATCCCTATTGTTTGCCAGGTTTTTAAGTATATTGAAACGATTTTTGGCAAATAAGTAGAAATTAAGGTACTAAATAACATGATGATGGTTTACATTGTACTTTTAACTTTTAAAAGTATGTAAGTAACATATATTGCTTGACTTGTGAAAAGTTTCTTGCTATTCATACACCAAAGTGAACAGAATGTCTAGTATCTTTTATGTATAGTATAATAAACTTAAAATATGGAGTTCTTTCTCAACAAAATGTCATATATTGATAATTAGAAGTAGAGTCACTTGTAATAAACAATATCATTATTGTTTTAAACATGATGCTGCTCCTGATTGTAGGTGATATATGTAATGCTAGTAAAAATAATATTCTACACTCTGTAACTTATTCCATATTGTTAATGTATGTCTGTGGTACCAAAATGAGTGTTATAACTTAATAATCAAAAATAGTTTAAAAGACTAATGTATAAAGGCAAAAGCTAATTTTTTGTTTCTTGCCAAAGGACCACATGCAAAAGTGATACCAGTAATAATGAATAATTTAAATATAATTTGCTATTTCAAAAACAATATGTCTTAAAAGGGAAAATAAAATCTTTCTATTGAAAAATCACAAAATTAGGTTTTCAAATGGAGAAATAATTTGATAGTATTTAGTAGAAATCTGTTTAAAGACATGTAGTTTATATAAAGATATTATACAAAAGTAGTGCAATGAATTTAAGTTTATATTGCATGAGGAATATAGTTCATTTATCTTCTTTTCTAAGACATATTTAATGAAATTACATACACTCCAATTATTATATTGCTTTTGCATAGAAAAATAGGAAACACTGAGTTTGTTTTTATGTTAATAAATGTGAAATTGATTTGCATCATCTTTTTTATAGAAGTAATGTTATTTCCAAGAAAATGTTATGAGCATTGATTTTTTGTTTATTACTTTTTACACTCTTTATCTGAATTATTTATTTCACATAGAAATGTAGTATAATACACATAGTATAATAATTTAAGTTCACCCACTTTGAAGATTCAGTCAGTTCATTGAGTAGAGATGCTTATTTATTTGTCACATCCAGCTCTATTGTACTTTACATTGAGTGTTCTCCATATTATTTTATATCTAAAATAATTGAAAAATGCAGTTTGGTCTTGAACTATAAGTTAAATTATCTTTAATACATGGAGTGTATCTTATAAATACAGATTAAAAATTGAATTAGCTCATGAAAACCCTTTAGAATTCCATCATTCTCCCAAGGAAAAATACCCTCCAACATACATAATCACTGGTTTTTATTACTTATCAGTGTGGGTGGATTTGTATACAAGAATGCAACATAATATAATAATGGGAATAAATAAAATATTCTGATCAGTTAAATGGAAAGAGAATAATAAATTACAGTGATTCCTTTTATAATACCCCTCCTGAAATTTATCACCTATAAAATAGAAGTTAAAATATCTCACTGGATTGTTGATTACATCAATTGAAATATTTTTAAATTCTTTTGAAAATAATGTGCTAAATACGTGTCTGCTGTTAATTTTGGTATTTCCTTTTACAAACTATTCTTTTTTTTTTTTTGGTACCAGGGATTGAACTCGGGTCCTTGGGCTTGCGAGGCAGGTGGCAGAACCACTGAGCTAAATCCCCGTCCCCAGACTATTCTTGACAAGGATTAAGCTAATCACAAAATATTAGTATTATGCTTTCTAGAGAAAGCCTATGTGCTAAGTGGTTTATGGTACTTCTCAGATTCATTTCCCAACAAGAAATTATTTAACTGAAATTCCAATTAATTGTTCTTATAAATTATAATTGTAAAGCAACCTATCTTACATTTTTATATTATTTTAAAATAAATATACCTGCCCTTGAATCATAAAACCTTGTAGTATTCTTTTGTGTACATCTGTGGGCTGTTTTTCTGAAAATGTCACCTCCAAATTTAGCGAATCTTTATGGATTACCAAGCCTCCATTTGGTCTTACAACCTCTTCTATGCTAATACATGCCAGTGAAATTGATCTCAGCAGCATCTTTGTAGGTAAGTAAATCACAAAGCCATAAAGCCTCTTGAAGTATTTTATTCCAGTATTATAAACCTATAGTTATTAGAACTAGAAAGCTTTAAAAAAGTTTATATGTGACTTAATAGAATATCAATTTGCTTCACAAAACTGATTATTTAAATGTCTTACAACAAACCAAAACCACAGTCGCCTGTTTTACTAATATTGATGTTCTCTCTAAAATAATACCTAGAATTTTCCAGTTTTCAGAATGCGTTACTTACTATCCTACTTATAACCATACAGTAAATTAACACTTTTGAAAAACACAATGCTTTTATTTGCAAAAGATGTAAAAATATGAATTGTATACTATTCACTAAGTATAATAAAAATTCTAAGTAATAAGAAAGCATTGCTTTATTTTTTAATTGGCAGCATATTTACTTTCTTAGTAACTCATAAAATAATGGTTTATCTTGCAATGTCAAATCTTAGATTCAGTGAAATACTGTATAATTCTCTTTGTATCACAATGAACATTTTGGCATACATCTTAAAAAAAGAATGTACCTACATTATGTCCTTAGAAGTATATCGTGCTCAGAAAAATTGAAAACATTACTATAAAATTTTTCTGAGAAAAATAAATTTTGTCCAAAATTGTGAAGGAAAGGAGGGAAAAGTGCTAATGAGAAATAGAATGGAAAACGTAAGAGGATGGAAATGAGATCTGAATGAGGATTAATTTGTAAAATTAGAACTGAGTGGACAGTTTTTGGAAAAATAACTTTTGAATCTTTTGTGGTACTGGGGATTGAACCCAAGCCTCACACATTCTAGGCAAGCATTCTAGCTCTGGGTTACATCCCCAGCCCTTTCTGTTATTTATTTTAGGACAGGCTCTTGCCAGGTTGCAAAAGCTGGCCTCAAATTTGCAATCCTCCTCCCTCAGCCTCCAAGTAGATGGAAGTACAGACATGTGCTATCACAACATTCCAGGAAAATAAATAAATATGACAAATCAAAATTATATATATGAGATTTATAGTAATGAGTTTTATGATATGTAGCATAGTTTTATACTACATAGTGTTGGGGAGTGGTGGGACAATTTAGGTCTCTCAGACATTGCTAGTGAAGCTTTAAGATTGGGTATAGTATCTTTGGAGGGTGAAATATCTCAAACTTTTGAACTAGAATTTTACTTCTAGGATTATAGTATCCCAGTACATGCATATATAAATTTGTATATCATCAAGTATATGTGTTCAATGAAATAAGTATGAAATCATGAAAAATAGGTCCATTTATTTTTTTTTATTCAATAAGTTTATTGGTACATTTTAGGTATACAGTATGATGACCTTCATCATTGGAAATTTGTACCTGTACATGATATGGGTTCTTATTTTTTTCCCCATTCCCCTGCCCTCCCTTCAACCCCTCCTTCCCTCCTTATTTACAAAGACTTGGTTTCTATTTTTTCCTTTTCTCATATTTATTCCTCCCTTCTTTCCTTTCCCTATGCCTCTCACTTCCCCTTCCCCTTTGGATTTTTTCTTCTTATTTCACATTATCTGTTATATATTTTGATCCTTATTTACACTTTCAATTTCTCACACCAGAGAAACTATTTGATATTCACACATGTGTGTCCTATTTATTTCACTTAAGAGTATGGCCTCAATGTGCATCCATTTAGTTATGTCTCTAGTTTCTCATTCTTTATGACTGAGTAGTACTCCATTTTATTTAAAAAAAAAAAAAAAAAACCACATCTTATTTATCCAGTCTCCAGTTGATGGGCAATTGGGCTATTTCCAAGTTTTAGCTATTACAAATTGTGCCTCTATAAACATGGGTGCACATATATTGCTATAGTATGATTTTTTTTTTTTTGCCATACCAGAGATCAAACTCAGGACCTTGCGGTGGAACCACTGAGCTAAATCCCCGGCCCAAAGTTAACCATTTATTTTTTTTATTTTTATTTTTTGGTACCGAGGATTGAACTTGGGACCTTGTGCTTGCAAGGCAGGTGGCAAAACCACTGAGCTAAATCCCTGGCCCTCGATTCTTCTAATTCTTTTGGGAAGATACCCAGCAGGGGAATAGCTGGGTCAATAGCTAATCCTAGTTTTTTGGGTTTTCGTTGTTGTTACCAGGGATCGAACTCAGGTCCTCGTGCTTGCAAGGCAGGCAGCAGAACCACTGAGCTAAATCCTTGGCTCTAATCCATTTTTTTAGGTATCTCCGTATTGATTTCCACAGTAGTTTCACAAGTCTACACTCCTATCAAGAGTGGAGAAGGATTCCTTTTTCCCCACAGCCCTGCCAGCATTTCTTATTGGTTGATTTCATAATAGCAGCCATTCTTTCTGGAGTGAGGTGGAGTCTCAGTGTTGTTTTCATTTATATCTCACAAATGACCAGTGATGTTCAACATTTTTTCATATGTTTATTTGCTATTTTTACTTCTTTGTCTGAGAAATGTCTGTTTATTTCATATGCCCATTTTTGCACTGGCTCTTTAAATTTGGGAGGTCTGATTTTTGTAAGTTCTTTATATATTCTAGATAATAGACCTTTGTCGGAGAAACAGCTGGTAAAAATTTTTTTCCACATTGTGAGTTGTCTCTTCACACTGTTGGTGATTTCTCTTGCTGTGCAGAAGCTTTTTAATGAGATGAGATCCCAGTTGTTGATTCTTTGTGCTAGTTGATGTGCGCCTGAGGTTTTGTTCATGAAATCTTTTCCTACACCAGTCTTCAAGAGTTCTACCTAACCTCTCTTCCAACCAGTTTAGTGTTTCTATTTTAATATTCAGATCTTTGATCCATTTCGATTTTACTTTAGTGCATGGTGAGAGATAATCTTTGGCAAGTTGAAACCCAGTTTTTCTAGCACCATTTATTAAAGAGGCTGTCTTTGCTCCAGTGAGAATGTTTGACTCCTTTGTCAAAGATGACATGGCTGAGTATGTCTGGAGTTGTTTCTGCATCTTCTAATCTGTTCCACTGGTACTCACATCAGTTTCTTTGCCAGTAGCATGCTGTTTTTCTCACAGTGGCTTTGTTGTATAGTTGCAAGTTGGGAATTGTGATACCCCCTCTCTTGTCTTTGTTGCCTAGAATTGCTTTTGCTATTCTACTAGGTCTCTTCTTGTTCCAAATGAATTTTTGGATTGTTTTTTCAAGGTCTGTGAAGTATGCTGCTGGAATTTCAATTGAGATCACATTGAATCTATATAGAAGTTTTGGAAGTATGGCCATTTTCACAATAGTGATTCTTCCTACCTAGGAACAGGGGATGTCTTTCCATTTTCTGATATCCTCTTCGATCTCTTTTTTCAGAATGCTATAGTTTTCAGAGAAGAGGTCTTTGATTTCTTTCATTAGGTTGATTCCTAGGTGTTTCATTTTTTTGGATGCTATTGTGGAAGTAGTTGTTTCTACAGTTCCTGTCTCAGTGAGTCTGTTGTTCGTGTACAGGACTTTTGTGTGTTGAACTTGTACCCAGCCACTCTACTGAATTGGGTTATTAAGTCTAGAAGACTTTTGGTGGAGTTCTTGGCGTCTTCTATATAGAGCATCATGCCATCTGCAAATAATGACTATTTAACTTCTTCACTTCCTATCTTTTATTCTTTATCTTGTCTAATTGCTGTGGCTAATGTTTCCAGAACTGTATTGAACAAGAATGGTGATAGTGGACATCCTTGTCTTGTTCCTGATTTTAGCATGAATGATTGCACTTTTTGACCATTTAGTATGGTGTTAGCTGTTGTTTTTTTCAGAGATAGCTTTTATCAGATTGAGATAAAGACTGTCTATTCCAATTTTCGGTGGGGTTTTTGTCATAAATGGGTGTTGGATTTTTCTAACGCTTTTTCTGCATCTATTAAGATGATCATATGGTTTTTGTCCTTGGCTCCATTAATACAGTGTATTACATTTATTGATTTGCATATGTTGAACCATCCCTGCATCTCCGAGATGAATCCCACTTGGTCAGGGTGTATGATCTTTTTGATGATCTTCTGCATTCTATTTGCCAGTATCTTATTGAGAACTTTTGCATCTATGTTAATTGGTGAGATTGGCCTATAGTTATCTTTTTCTGTTGGGTCTTTCTCTGCTTTGGGGATCGAGATGATGCTTGCTTCCAGGAATAAATTTGGGAGTATTGCTTCCCTTTCAATCTCATTGAAAAATTTAAACAGTAGTGGCAATAGTTCTTTTCTAAATGTCTTGTAGAATTCAGCAGTGAAGCCATCAGGACCTGGGCTTTTCTTAGTTGGTAAGTTTTAAATTACATTTTCAATTTCATTGATTGATATTGGGTTGTTTAGAATTTTTAGGTCTTCTTCATTCAACTTTGGTAATTCATATGTATCTAAGAATCTGTCCATTTCTTCTGTGTTGTCCATCTTATTGGCACATAGTTTCTCGAAGGAGGTCTTGATGATCCTCTGGATTTCTGCTGGGTCTGTTGTAATTTCACCCTTTTCATTCCTAATTGCATGGATTTGGGCCTTTTCTTTCCTTATTCTGATAAGGTTGGCTAAGGGTTTGTCAGTTTTGTTGATTCTTTTGAAGAACAACTCTTTGTTTCATTGATTTTTTTTTATATCATTCTCTTAGTCTCCATTGCATTGATTTCTCCTCTGATCTTTATAATTTCCTCCCTTGTATGAGCTTTGGGTTTACCCTGCTCTTCTTTTTCTAAAAGCTTGAGGTTCAGCATCAGGTTATTTATTTGCACTTGCTCTGTTTTCCTAATATGCGTATTCACTGGTATGAATTTCCCTCGTAAGACTGCTTTCATTGTGTCCCATAAATTCCCATATATTTTATTGGCATTGTCATTTAA